GACAAATACCATATGATTTCACTCATATGTGGAATCAAATGGTATTTGAACTAACTAGTAAAACTGAGACAGACTCATAGATGAAGAGCAGATGACAGCTAGTGGGCAGGGGAGGTGAGGGGCGGAGGGATTGACCAAACACAAAAAAGGACTCATGGCATTGACAACAGCGTGGCGATGCTGGGGGAGGGGGATATAAGGGGACCAAAAGGCAATGGAGGAAAAATGCAATAAAGACTAAATTTAAAATAAATGTTAACCAAGATTTCTAAGCTCAACAAACACAGTCCTTCAAAAATGAATTTAAAATATATTTCAAAATAAAGACAGAAAATTTGTGGCCGACATTTTGTCTTACACAGAATACTAAAGTCCTTCCAATGAGAAGTGATATGACAGCAGACTTGGTACCTTAAATCCAAGGGGAAAAATGAAGAAATGGTAAATATGTGGGTACAAAGGACTGTGTGTATATGTGTGTATACTCTTTATTTCTCTTAAATTCTTTAGAAGACATGATTGTATAAAGACTTAATTACAACTGCATTATTGTTATATATGAGACAAATACATATAGGATAATAATAGTACAAAGGGGAAGAAAACAAAGTTATATTGGAATAAAGTTGTTACATTCTACCAGAACTTAGTATTAATCTGAAGAAGACTATAGTCAATTAAGATGCCTATTGTAATACCTAGGGCAACCACTTAGCAAACAATATATGCAGAATATATGCAGTGGAACTGCATATTCAAATATGCAGAAGAGTTTCATAGAATTGTACGCTTGAAACCTGTATAATTTCATTAACCAATGTCATCCCACTAAATTTAATTTTTAAAAAGCCCACTACTTTAAAAAAAAATCATAAAAACGTGCAAGTGCATGCAATGGCACACTAATAAGTTTCTGGGTAATACAAAGGAAGACAGTAAAAGACCAATCCAACAACAAAAAAAAGACATAAGATACAGAGAAAGCAAATAGCAAAATGACAGGTGTTAGCCTTGGCTGGTCGGCTTGGTGGATTGAGCACCAGCCTGCAAACTGTAAGGTTGCTGGTTCAATTCCCAATTAGGGCACATGCCTGGGTTGTGGGCCAGTTCCCCACTTAGGGGCATGGGAGAGGCAACCTATCTATGTTTCTTTCACACATCGATGTCTCTCTCCCTCTCCTTCCCCTCTACCTAAAAAATAAATAAAATCTTTAAGAATTTTATACACTTAAAAGTCTAATCCAAAAGCAAAGATTACTGACTGGATTTTTAATTTTTTTTTTTATTCATACCAGAGACCTGTTTATTTATTTAAAGAGAGAGGGGAAGGGAGAGAGGCAGAGAAGGAGACAGAGAAAGGGGGTGCAGGGGAGAGAAAGAAACACAAATGTATCAATCAGTTGCCCACCTCATATGTGCCCGGTTAGAGAATGGAACCCACATCCTATATATGTGCCCTGATCAACACTTGCCCTCACTGGGATTGAACTGCAACCTTTTGGTGTATGGGAGAACACTCCGACCAACTGAGCCACCCAGCCAGGGTGCTGACTGGATTTTTAAAGAGCAAGATCCAATAAGTGCTGTCTATCAGAGATCTGCTTCAAATTAAAAGACACAAATAGGTTAAAAAAAGGAGGACAGGAAAATATATGTAGTGCAAACAATAATCATAAGCAAGCTGAAGTGGCTGTATTAACACCAAACAAAACGGATTTTAAGAAATATTATTAGCAACAAAGAGATTTTATAATGATAAAAAGTCAAACATCAGAAAATTATATAAAGGTATATACACCTCAACACAGAGCCCCAAAATACATAAAGCAAAAACTGGCAGACTTGAAAGGAGAAATAAACAATTTGACAATTATAACTGGAAATTACAATATCACATTCTTAGTAATTAACAGAACAAATAGGCACAAATCAGCAAGGCTCTCGCAGATTTGAACAACACTATCAACCATCTTGGCCTAACTGACACTTTTTAATACTCCAGCAAACAAGAGCAGAATACCGTATGCATTCTTTTGAGGTGTGACCATTCTCCAGAACAGACTATATGGCAAGCCATAAAACAAGTTTCAAGACACTTAAAAGGATTTAATCATTCAGTGTATTCGCCAATGACAGAAAGTTAAAAATGAAGAAACAAATTTGGAAAATCCTTAACACTTGGAAATGAAGTGACATATTTCTATATAACCAATGGGTCAAAAAAGAAATCACAAAGGAAAGTAGAAAATATTTTGAACTAAATGAAAACAAAAACACAACATATCAAACTTTGTAAGATATGACTTAAATAGTGCTTAGAGGGAAATTCAGAAGTTTAAATACATATACTAGAAAAGAAAGGTTTGACATCAATAATCTAAGCTTCCCCTTTAAGAATAGACAAAGAAGAGTGAATTTAAACTAAAGCAAGTATTAAAAGAGAAATTAAGATGGGGGTGAGCAGGGAGAATCAATGAAATAGGAAGGAGAAAAAGAGGGAAAAAATCAAAGAAACCAAAAGTTCTTTGGGGGAAAAAAATCAACAAAATTGATAAATCTTTGGCTACCCTGAGTAAGAAAAAAGATGACAGAGAATACCTAAATCAGGAATGGGAGAGGGACACATCACTACCAGCTCTCCTGAAACTAAAGAAATTTAAGAGTTATGTCAATAGATTAGACAGTTTAGATAAGCAAACTCCTCAAAAACCACAAAGTACGAAGACTAAAGGAGAAACAGAAAATCTGAATAGCTCTATAACAATAAAGTTACTACTTAAAAATCTAGTCCAGGCAAGAGATCCTATCCAGTATTTAAAGAAATAATACCAATTCCGTGCATTGTTTTTTTCAGAAAATACAGAGGCAGAGGAACATTTTCCAACTCATTCTGTGAGACCAGTATTACTTTTTTATCAAAGTAAGACAAACCTGTCACAATTAAGCTAGAAACCAATATCCTTCATAAGCATACACAGGAAAATCCATAACACAATTATTAGCAAACAAAACCCAGCAACATATAAAAAAGATTAAACACCATGATAAAGTTAAATTTATGGGACCATGTCATCCATGGAGCTCCTGCTTCCTTTCTGTTCTAACATCATCCCTCAAATGTAAATCACCAGCGCTGGTTTGGCTGTGCAGTCTCTTCATTTGCACAATCATCCATGTACACCTTCCTTGGTAGTTGTGCGTAGGGTGTTTGAAATAAAGTAACCTAGTCCTATTGATTAAGATGAAATACGGATATCAAAAAACTAGACTGAAATTATGATATCAAAAGAGATTAAAAACAACATAAAAGGAGCAGAAAGCAAGATTTCCAACTTCAGCCTTGATGCTGAGGTTTCAAATTCCTGACAAGGATTTAAAACAAACAAAAGATGACAAGGTAGGTGAGCAATGAGCTAGATTCTCAACTCAGTTATCCCCAGGGCTTAAAACGATCAATCACCAACCAGATCCATAAATGCTGCTGGTTTAGGGATTTCCCAGAGTTTGAAATTCCAACCAAACTATTAGACAAGGGACATCCTATTAGATAAGAAGAATTGTATCCTCAGAAACAGACGTGAGACTTTGAAGAGATGGTGTGCTCCATTTTCTAACTGCACATCAGCTCAAGGATTGAAATCCAGTGCTGATTTTTAGGCTCATCTCCATCTGGTCACCAGTTAGGCTGACATAGCTTTCCAAGCTCCAGCAGGTTCAGCTCTAAGTTCTTGTTTTTAGAGATGATTAGCAAGCAGGATGATGCATCTTGTCACTTATCCCATCACCACCCACATTAGCCTGGTTCTGAGTGGAAAATATCCTGAATCAACCCATATATACAGCCCACAATATGGTTGAGGGTGAGTGGTATGAGAGAAGCACTTGTATACATCTAATACTTTCATATGCACCTCTAGGAATCTGAAAAAAAAACTCCTCTGAAAACAACAGTATTTAGATGGTCATTCATTTCTGCATGGTGCAGGATTATAACCTTGAACCTATAGCATTAATAAGTTAGCCAATTTCTACATGATAAATGAACATAAAAACCTAACAGTTTTTTTGTTTTGTTTTGTTTTGTTTTTTTTGCTATATGACAAAGCTTATCATTTCCATTTTAAAAATGTAGTATTTTAGCCCTATCTGGTGTGGCTCAGTGGATGGAGCACTGGCCTGCGAACTAAAGGGTTGCTGATTCGATTCCCAGTGCAGGGCACATGCCTGGGCCGCAGGCCAGGTCCCCAGCAGGGAGGTGCATGAAATGCAACCACACATTGATGTTTCTCTTCCTTTCTCCCTCCCTCCCTCTCCCTAAAAATAAATTTAAAAAATATTTTTGTTAAAAAAAGTAGTATTCTAGATTAAAAAGGCTGTAAAACCATAAAAGAGACAGTCTCTAGATGTTATGAAATGATGCAAATGTTAACTAAAACAATTTATATTAATATTTTAAATAATGTAAATTACATAATTGGTGGCAATCCCTGCAAACCTCTTTGCGACTAACTGAAAGCAAGGATCAAGATTTTGAGTAGATACTTCCAGGAAAAGTATGTCTAGAATAAGTATTCAATATATAGCCTTATTAAACATAACTGATATCAATAATTAAATTTGGTTGATCATACCTACAAATCATCAATGTTTACATTTTTTTTCTGGATGAATTTCAAACATAATGTCAACAGAATATTTCTATATTATGAATTACAAAATAATTCGTAACAATTCTATAGGCCATATGCAAGTTTTATTTAAATAATTTAACACTGCACAGAGAGCTAATTTATAAGTATAAAAATAGACAGTTTAGCAATCAAATACAAACACCACACACAGACATATTACACAGACACTATCAGTCCTTTGGAAGATTAAGGCAACATTAATATCTCAAGTAATTTTATGAGAATAATTTACTCATTATGATAGATGTTATTAAAATATCTCAAAATAGAACCCACAAATTTTTCTGTATGAAGTCTTCCCTTCCAGTTTTCTTGTCAATATACTCTTCTTAAATACTGTACAACAATTAGTTAAGATTGACAATGGGGCTATCAAAGCCACTATCCTGTTGGCTAGTTAGAGGAGCCATCAGTGTGCTCGAAGGCTGCCGATGCACTGAAAACGGCTCTGTACTGCTCAGTGTTTGGAAATCAGCCTTATGATGAGGTGGGTGTCTCAGCATCATACGGATCTTCCCTGGCTGGGAATACATGGTTTCTTCCGACAAGTCTGGAATGCGACAATTCTTATTGTTTTTCTCTTTATCTGAAAGACAACCCACTGTTAAAAACTGTTTGAAATTACCAGACTCAGCTAGCATATCCAATGTTTCTCGTGGCTCTCCGTGACTGCTGCAGGGTAAAAGGGTGCTGCTGAAACGCCAGCCCATGGAGTCACTGCAGTCTCCTCCGTCCTTTACGGGAGCTTCCTCAACACCCAAACATTCACTTTTCCCAGATGCAGCATTTTCACTTCCCATTACTGGAAAACACTTATATACTTTTAAATCAAGTCTTTCATTAGGACCTCGACAAGTTATGTGCGTGGATCCAGATTCAGAAAGACTAGGGCCACTTCTAGGTGAGGATTTATTTCCAAACGTTCCAAGAAAGGGGTATTCAGCTGAATGTAGATGTGATCCAGAGCTGGCATCATTGACGAGGTCTTTCTTCTTGTGCAAACCAAAGCCTCTTTCACCTTCACAAGGAACAAACTCAGGAGAAACATCCCTTGGCAAAATGTCTGGTTGTTTGTGATTGTTATACACAAACTGAAAGTCTGAATGTGACCCTTTGGGACCCACAAGCTTTATGTCCCTGTGTTCTATCTCCTCCAACCGCCTTCGTAAGTCACAAGCAGCCCTCCTCTTATGAACTTGGTTGCACATAGTTTTCATATTGTTTGAGTCACTTTCAGTGTGACACGGTACATTCTGATTCATGTCATTCCTTTTTGATTTTTCAACACCAATTATCTCTGAAGTCAGAGGCAGTACTACAACATACAAGGGAACACAAAATTAGGGAAATATAAAATTGGAGAAAGTTAAGATTGAAAGAGAAGAAAAAAATTACATTTTTTTATGTATTCCCAAAGGCAGCATGTTTATTTTAATCATTCTCAAAGAAAATACATCAATGAACATTTTAAAATAATCTTTTACATATATCCATTAGATAAAGCTAGGTGATTTTGTTACTGAAATTATTATTTTTAATTATTATTATTTTCTACTTACCCATCCTTTCTAGCTCTATTTTTCCTCTTTCTTGATTCTGTTAGATTGAAAGTATTTTCTTCCAAGTTTTTCCCAAACCAGTTTGAAAGTTATATACTCTATATTTCCCTAATGGCTAGAGTTATCAGTACTATATCTTCTTGAAAATAGTAAAAATCTTAGCATATTGTAGTTTCCTCTATAATATCCTCTTATATTTTTCTGGGAATACTATACTTTTTTAACATTCTCAGGTCCTGCTGTTTATTCTATGAATTCCATTTTTTTTTTTTGTTTTGAGATTGTTGTCCTTTTTTCATGGTGCTGGGCTTTCTACAGATATATGATGATTCTTGGTTGAATGCATATCTTTTAGATGCCCTGAATGTACTGTTCGTGCTCTTTAAAGGACTTGGGAGTGGAGTGGGAAGAAACGAGCTGAGGTGCAGAAAGACCTAAAAGCTGCTGCTCTGGGCACGCGGGCTCTCAGTCCGCACCTCGGGTGGCCAGCCACCTGGAGCACCGACCTGCTTACGGGATCTTTGTTCCATTGCTCGGACCCAGCCCCATGCTGAGGCTGGGAAAGGGAGAGAAGGAGAAATGAAGAGGGTGACCCCAATGGTTACTGCTGTCTAGAACACCAACTAATTATCCTATTGTTATTCCCTAGGCTTGCTTCTCCAGTAACACACCACCTTCACACGCAGACCAGTTTTGAAGTTGCTCTGCGTGCAGCTGTCAGCTCCAGCAGTTTTGAACTGTGGTTCCCACCTTCAATCTTAGACTGTCTTCTTTCTTTCAGGGTCCTTCATGATTTCTGGTCTATCAGTTGTGACTTTTCTAAGCCCAGTTACAACTTCTTCTTTTCCTACTTTTATAGTTGTTGTTTATAATCTTTTCTATCATTTCTAGAGATGGAAGCAGCAATAGAAAGCTGATGGTTCTACTCAGTCTGCCTACTTGAACTGGAAACTATAATCTTTTTGGTACATTTCCAGTTTAAGGATAAAACACACACAACTTAATAAATTACCACTCACTCCTTACATTTCCTGCTCGTTTTCATTATAAAAACATTAAATTTTTTTTTAAATAAAAGGGCTCACTTTAAATTCAAGTGACTCATTTTGACATACCTGACTCTGGAGTTTTGCCCTGGGATCTATTAGAAATAGGCGTTTCCAGCAATTTTGCCATTGTAGCTAGTTTGCTAGCAGCATTCATAATCTTTTTCTCAGCTCTGTGGGAATTCCAGAATATTAAATTAATATAGTTTATATGAAAAAATGAGTTTCCTTAGCCCCGGGATTTTTGCTTTCCTATTAGCTCTGCCAACATTTAGGGTAGCACAGCATTTAAACCTCTCTTAACCCCCAATGGCTGATCATGTAAAAATAGTGTGGTTACGGAAAATGCATAGAAAATGACAACATGCCGTTATGGTACTCTAAGGACACAATGTTTGTTTAGATTAAACTTACCCTTCCTGTTTTCCATTATCCTGCAAGATCTGTTGGAGACAAGTCAAATAATATTTGCGCATCTTTCGGGTGGTTTCTTGACGTTCTCGCAATACCTCTGCTTTTACCATTTCCGCAGCCCTTTCCTTACTCTCCCGAATGTAACGAAGCATATCACCTGGTGGGGGCGGGGGTGGGGACACGTGTTTATTACCACTTCTTCAAAAACAGGAGAGGCACACCTCAGACCAATTTTCTAAGGGATTAATTGATTACAGGTATAATTTAAACACTAGTCTTTTCCACAGTCATTAAAATGGAGTATTTCAGATCTTTATTTTGGTAGACTCAAAGGAGAAGGAACCTAAAAGTCCTTTTAGAATGATGACAGCCACATATAGTAAGGAAACACAGCATATGCCCTAGGGAAATTCTGCCATATTCTGAAACAAGATTAAGAAAAAAAAACATAAATAAGGGGTGGGGAAAAAGTAGGTTTACAGTTGTTCATATGGAAAATATAATAATAAATAATAATACAAGAATAAACTGTTTCACGTGCTCACAACTATAAACTTACTTTTTCCCCATCCTATATGAGGCACAGAAATGTATGCATTTTAGCTGTAAATTATGTCCAGTTAAGAGAAGAAAAAAAAGAAATACACAGAAAAGGGGGCGCCAGTAAGGAAGAGACAACAGATTAAAACAGAAGGAAGCACTATTAGCTGAGAAGATTCATATTCTGTTTACTTGTGGTCTGAAAATCCATGTTTCATTATTTATTCAGCTCTTCCAGCACCACTGTGAGTGTCCAACCATTGTAATCTTACCATCCATGAGAGATGTACAAAATGCCATTGCAGGGGGAAGGAATGAGACTTATGTTGCCTTCTGAAATTTGCATTTAAAATAGTTCACAAGTTTTCAAAATCTCTTTTTATCTCAACACAATTTGATTGGGATTACTGTTAGTTAAGGTTGACAATTTTTAAACAAGTCCAGGGCTATTATATTAAAGATTCCAATTCAAAAAGGAAACTTCCTCTTAATATCCGTAAGCTTTCCTGAAAATCAGATGTTCTCTGCAAAAATTCTAACTAGTAGACTATTTTTCATTATTTGAAGGGGAAAAATTAAAATGATTAAAATGAAGTACATGTCAAAACAAAATCTTCAACCAACTCCTAAAATGTAAAACACATACACATATAAAACAAGTTATCATATTAGGATGAAAAAATGCTTAAAATTTCACTTCTGAATTAATAAGACTGCTAACAAAAATATTACCTTGTTCGTAGTAATAGGGCCCCTGTTGGCACAAGCATGACTGAGAAACAAATCCTCTTAACTGGTACTCAATAGACTTTACAAACATCTACACATGATTCTGATGATCTACCAATTACATCTGGATTTTGAGATCTGTTCCACTGGCTTTATTAAAAGTGAGTGCAATTTTAGGAGGTAAATGTGCATTTCTTCTATATAAACACTGGTTATTGTTCTGGAATATACAGACAGTCTATGCAACATTGTAATAAAAAACCAGGAGGTACTCTACTAGGTAAACATAACCAAAGATGCTCTGCAGGGTGTGTGGCACCTCCTAGCACTGCAAAGGACTCGATAAGTTATTTATGCCTATGGTTGAATCCATGACCCAAATAATAAGAAACAAGAATGACTCCTAACTAGATCCATTTTCCATGGTTCTTAAAAGTTTATGGTATGAAAAAATAATTGGTAATTTAAAACTCATGTGACATTTTCTTTGCTACCAGTTAAGGTATAAGAGCATGAAATTTTGCCCTGCCTGGTGTGGCTCAGTGGACTGACTGCCAGCCTGCAAACCAAAAGGTTGCCTGTTCAATTCTCAGTCAGAGCACGTGCCTGGATTGCTGGCCTGGTCCCCAGTTGGGGACGTAAGAAAAGCAACCAATCTATGCTTCTATCGCACATTGATGTTTCTCTCCTTCTCTTTCTCCCTTCCTTCCTCTCTAAAAATAAATAAATAAATAGATTATGAAATTTTTAGTTTAATATCAGTGTCCAAAAAATGAAATAATCAAAAATATACAATAAAAATAATTCTATCCTCATGTCACTTCCAAAAGATATTACTTGGGCAAAATGATCCCATACTGTTTAATTAGGAGAGGTATTAATGATCTCTCACATAAGCTGGTAAGAGTCTAGAACAAGGTACTTTGAAAAATTCCCCAAAATTACTACTGCTAGTAACAAAGAAGGTCCAATCCACCTTAAAATCTTGGGAATCCCTTTAGGGACTTACGCTTGATTTTTTTTACTGCTTTAATGTACTGCCCACGAAGTTCTTCCAAGGCCCCCCGATGGCATGGCAGGGAAGCATTTTCAATGGCCCCTTCTGACAATGACCTAAAAACAAACAAAAGATTGCAAAAATAGACAGTAAATGAAAAATTTCACTTGGAAAAAAAATCTGTCTATATATATTCCAATAAAATAAACTGAAATGTGCTTAAAATTCACATAGGAGAATCTTTATTATAGTTATTTAAAATAGGAGAAAAATGAAAACAATTTATTTTTTTAAATATTTTATTTATTTATTTTTAGAGAGGGGAAGGGAAGGAGAAAGAAAGGGAGAAAAACAGCAATGTAAAACAGAAACATCAATTGGCTGCCTCTCACATGCCCCCAACCAGGGACCTTGCCCACAATCCAGGCATGTGCCATGACCAAGAATTGTACCTGCAACCTTTCGGTTTGCAGGATGACACCTAACCCACTGAGCCACACAGTCAGGGCATGAAAACAATTTAACTGTTATGTTTACTTAAATAAGTTATGGTAAAACCACATGATGAAAATCTACTCAGCTACTGAAAAGCATATTATAGAATATCTAATGAGATAGGAAAATGTCTATCTTATAATGTTAATAAAAGTTTACAAAACAGCTTATCCAATATTCTCAATTTTTTAAAAACATGTACACATGATGTGTGTACATAAAGGAGTTTAAATGATATAAAACAATAGATCAACAGAGGATATCTCCCAGCGATACAATTTTTGAAGATTTTCTCCTTTTTTATACTTTATGCATTAGAGTCATGCACCACTTAATGATCGTGACACATTCTGGAAAATGTGTCATCAAGGTATTTTGTCACTGTGCGAACATCACAGAGTGTACTTACACAAACCTAGATGGTCTAGCCTACTACACACCTAGGCTAGCTGAAATAGCCTATCGCTCCTAGGCTACAGGTCTGTAAAGCATGTCACTGGACAAAACGACATGAAATTAAATCAAGCACAAGAGAAAATGACACAATCAAGAAACACGGTAAGCATAAACCAGTGGCACAGTTATCATTATTGAGTACTGTGTACTGTACATCATTGTATGTTATACTTTTATATGACTCCACAGATTTGTTTACACCAACATCTCCACAAACAGGTGAAAAATGTGTTGCATCTCAACAGCTATGAAGTCTCTAGAGAGAGAAATTTTTAGCTTCATTATAATTTTATGGGACTACTCCTATGAAGACTATCATTAACTAAAATGTTGTAATTTGGCACAGGACTATATAACAATAACAATAATTGACATTCTTGGTATAATATTGATATGATTAATATAAAACATTTAAAAGATACTTAGAAACAAGCAATTTCTTTACAATAGTAAAAGTTTACCTTGGTGGTATTTTACAAAGTGTTCTCAGTTCTTCCAATTTACTCTTCATGTCATTGTTTTCTTCTATTAATTCTTCAACCACTTTACTATTCTCTTCTGAAAAAGAAGTTATAGTATATTGATCAATCAATATCTTTTTTTCTCAGCCTCACATTTCCTTAAGTTCCCAACACAAATGTTTATAGAGGGAACTGCAGAATTTCCAGCCTGTGTCATTCATTCCCTGATGAACCCTAACATTACCACTTCCTGTTCTGCTTTCTCAGCACTTGAAATCTGTACTTCATCTTCCTTTGGGTTACACACTGTTCTGAAATATGTTTCCAATTGTTCCATATGCATGTGTTTTGTTTTCCAGCTGGACTGAAGCTCTTTACAATCTACTAGGTTTTCTAATTCCCTCTTTCCTGTGGAGCCTGGTGTAGTCAATCCTCATAATGATCACTGAACAAGTACCTCAATACAAAAATTTTTAAAAAATAAGCTTACATAGGTGCCATTTTCAGAATGAAGGAAAGATTTTCAATTCTTTGAAATTTTAATAAGAAGATGGGGTGACCTCATGTATCCTACTCTCAACCCTCTCAATACACCCCATAAACTGGGGAATGACTTGTTCTTTCCCCCTAGTGATTGATGTTAACTTTTATATTTTTAATCCACCCACTCTTACTCTATCACTTTCCAATAAATGGTACCAAAACAATGGAAAGAGAATTTAAGGGACAAAAAGGAAGCAATCACTATATAAAAATATTAACAAATTTACATTAAGACAAATACTGAAATTAAACCATCAAATGACTTAAATTCTGACCCTGACTGACCTCTATTATCAGCCCATTGTTTTGAGCTAAGTACCAACCTTCTACTTTCTTGTATTATTTCTAAGTCCACAAATTACAGAAGATATCAACCTCAAGAAGCACTATGTAGAATAACAATTTCATGAACATAATGTACAGTGCTAGGTATTATTTATAAATAATAATCCCATCCAACTGCCCCTGTCATTTTATTATATATAAAACAGATATTTGGGGTTTTCATCTAATTTTATAGTAACTACATTTTATATGCATATGCAATTGGACAAATTAACTAAATAGTTAAGCAATTATTATAAGAATTGTAATTGTTAAAATTTTTTTCTCAAAATTCTTGAAACCCAGACTTCCGGCCAAGATGGAGGTGTAGGTAGACTCACTTCCTCTCCTCACGGAATGATAAGAAGGTTAAGAATCAATGTAAAAACAAAAAATAATCAGAACTGCAAGAAACACAAACTATATGGAAGTCCAACAACCAAGGATTTAAAGAAACATTCAGCCAGGTGGGTAGGAGAGGCAGAGAGGACGCAGTGTGGTGTGGCAAGGTGGCTGTGCAGAGACAGCGGCAGTGGCCTGGAATGGGTGATCCCACATTCATGTGTGGCAGATAAAAATCAGAAAGGACAACTGAGGAGCGAGTGATCCCAGGCCCAGACCACACTGCACAGCCCAGGGTTCTAGCACCAGGAAAATAAAGCCTCATAACCTCTGGCTGTAAAAACCAGTGGGGGTGGGGGCAGCAGAAGAAACTGCTGGTCTTGCAGGAGAGTCCATTTAAAGGGTCCACAGGGTCCTAGAAAGAATGCAAACCCACCCACTCTAGGAATCAGCACCAGGGCAGCAGTTAGAAGGGTGCCAATCACTTACGAGAAGGGGCAGAAGTGACTGGAAATAGGATGAGAGCCAAGCAAGCAGCATTGATCCCTCTCTGAACCCTCCCCACATACAGCGCCACAAAGCTACAAAGCAGGTTGCACCACCTTGGCTAATACCTAAGGCTCCACCCCTTACAACATAACAGGTGCACCAACATTAGGAGTCAAAGCAGCTCTGCCTAATACTCAGAAACACAAGGATGCGGATGCTGCCTTATAGAAGAGAGGAAGAAATACAGCCCAAATGAAAGAACACAGCAAAATTCTATAAAAAGAACTAAGCAACGAGGAGACAGCCAACCTATCAGGTGCAGAGTTCAAAACACTGGCGATCAGGATACTCAGTAAAATAAGTACAGCCACAAAATAAAGAAAGAAATGAAGTCTATACAAAGTGAAATAAAGAAAAATATACAGGGAACCAACAGTGAAGGGGAGGGAGCCAGGATTCAAATCAATGATTTGGAACAGAAAGAAGAAATAAACATTCAACTGGTACAGAAAGGAGAAACAAGAATTCAAAAAAAAATGAGGAGAGACTTAGGAACCTCTAGAACAACTTTAAAAGTACCAACATCGGAATCATAGGGGCACCAGAAGGAGAAGAGGAGGAGCAAGAAAAGTTTTCAAAACTTACTTGAAAAAATAATGAAAGAAAACTTCCCTAATGTGGTGAAGAAAATAGACATACAAGTCCAGGAAGCTCAGAGAATCCCAAAGAAGTTGGACCCAAAGAGGAACACACCAAGACACACCATAATTAAAATGCCAAAGGTTAAAGATAAAGAGAGAATCTTAAAAGCAGCAACAGAAAAGAAGAGAGTTACCTACAAAGGAGTTCCTATAAGACTATTAGCTGATTTCTCAAAAGAAACCTTTCAAGCAAGAAGGGACTGGCAAGAAGTATTCAAAGAGATGAAAAGCAAGGACCTACATCCAAGATCACTCTATCCAGAAAAGCTATCATTTAGAATGGAAGAGCAGATAAAGTGCTTCCCAGACAAAGTAAAGCTAAAAGAGTTCATCATCACCAAGCCCTTATTACATGAAATGTTAAAGGAACTTATCTAAAAATAAATGAAGATCAAAACTATGAACTGTAAAAATGATAACAAACTCACAACTACCAACAACTGAACCTAAAAAAAAAAAACCCTAAGCAAACAATTAGAACAGGAAAAAAATCACAGAAATGGAGATCACATGGAGGGTTATCAGTGGGGAAGGGGATGGGGAAGAATGAGAAAAAGGTAAACAGAATAAGAAGCATAATTGGTAGGTACAAAATAGACAAGGGGATGTTAAGAATAGAATAGGAAATGAAGAAACCAAAGAACTCATATGTACAACCCATGGACATGAACTAAGGGGGTGAGGAGATTGCTGGAGGGAATGGGGGTACCGGGCACAGAGGGGCAAAGAGGAGAAGAAATGGGCCAAATGTAGGAGCATAATCAATAAAATATACTTAAAAAATAAAACAAAAAAAATTCTTATAACCCTTTTTGCCTTAAATTAATTATTACCTATCTTTAACAGACTTAGCAAGCAATAGGTGGAAATAGACAGATTCTCTCAGTCAACAATATTTGCAAAATGTGCTATGATGCCAGATAGTGTGACAAGTGCTGGGACAGGACTTGGTCCTTGCCACCACCAAGTACAAAGGAGAATAGAGATGATCAATAATTGTAAGGATGATGAATGTTATAAAAATCACAGGCAGTGTGGGGAAAGTCCAACAGAAAAACCTAATCAAGTCTGTGGTTGGGATTACTTCCATGAGGAAGTACTGGATGAGGGACAGATGTGGAGGGGTTAGCCAGACAATGTGACCAGGATGGGAAGACAGATGTTTTAGTAAAGGGAGAGAATGTAAAGAGGACCAGAGAAAGAGACAAGGAAAACCATGCCCATGGCTCTATGAAAGGATAAGAGGGCGGGGGAAAGGTGAGGCTGGATGGGCTGGAAGATGCTGGATCATAAAGGGCTTTTTAGACTCTCTTCAATTAAGTATTTGTATTTCATACTGAGGAACACATGCAGCCCCTGAAGGGCTTTCGTAAGAGAGTATGATGATTCAATTTGCTTTTTTAAAAGGTTGCTCTAGCTGCCTGATGGAGAATAGATAGGAGGGGACAGAGTGAAAGCAAAAGGGCTCAGGAAGTGACTGTTGTCCAGGCAAGCAAAAGAGGTGAACGTAGAAAAAAACGTAAATCTATCCACCTGGATTTTTATGGATGATACAATTATTTGGGACCAATGGATTATGTCTTTCATTCATTCAAACATTTACTATATTCTGGTGTGTAGTGGGCACCATCCCAACAAGGGTGAACAACACTAAACATTCCTTATCCTCAGGGAACTTACAGGTTGGAAAGGGTACCAGTCAAGTAGTAACCACAAAATAAAACAGAGAGTGACAGAGGAGCTACGGGCTCTGGGGCCACACAGGAGAGGCCCACCGAACCGAGGCAGGGAAATCAAGGAGGGCTCTGCAGATAAGGCATCTTCTCAGCTGAGTCTTAAAGGATGAGAGAGTTAGGCCACAAGGAATGAGAGGGTGCAGTGTAGGACAGAGTGACATCATCATATATAAGATCTAGCAGTAAAGAAATTTCCTGCCCAGTTCAGGAATCTGAGCTGTTTCAAATGTAAAGAGTTCATAGTATGAGATATAAGTAAAGAGTGAAAGGTAAGAGGATGCACCCTCATAAGCCCAACAGCTTCCCTTTCTACAAGGGCAACAGAAAATGGCAGGAGATACCCATTTTAATATTACCTGAAAACATTGTGAAAAATGGACTAGGAGGCCAGATCAGACCCATATGCCTTTGTTCATGTCTTTTCCCTATACCTAGAATACTGTTCTCTTTGGCAAAGACCTTCATCTTTCAAGGCTTAGACAAGTATTCCTTAACTCTAATACAAAGAAGAGTTAATTAATATAATTTCTTCCACGTTTACATGAACATACTGCCGCAGTAGCACTCAATGCCGCAATTATTTGTTAATCTGTTTTTAGTTCTCCTCACTTGATAATAAGCTTCCTAAAGGAAAAAAAAACAGTCTTGCACATCTCCATTAGAATTAGAATTTTGTCTGATGTATTTACTGTGGGGTCCCCAGTGCTTAGAACACTGCTTGACACATATTGGGCACTCAGTATCTGTTCAATCAAAAAAGGAAGAGAGGAATGTGACCTTTTCATCAGCGCTCCAATTTTCCTCCTCCTCTTTTGAGTTCAGTAATAATTTGGCTAGTAAAAATAAGGTCGAAATTAGTTTACATCAATCCCCAAAGAGAACCAGTGCCTACATTAACTAAAATGTCACATTTGAACACTTCGGCAAGGGTCAAAGAGATTTATACTGGTAGCAATGCTACTGTAAATGCTAACCTCCGATTTTTTCCACTACAGCTTTGTGCTTCCTTTCTAAATGCTGAAGATGCCTACAGCATTTCTCCAGTTTTCCTTTGAGAGCTTGACATTCCTGCTTTGCCTTTCCAAGTTCTTGGAAGCATTGTCCACTGCATGAATCTTTAATTTCAAGGATCTCTTTCTTATCTGCAAAAATTAAATGGTAGAAAATCTTTATATATTTAGAGTAAGAACTACAAGGAAGGAAAGAAGGAAAGAAGGAGGGAGGGAGGGAGACCAGATGACATAATTAAAGGCTACAGTGTAACTGGAGAAAGAATGATGCTTCAGGGAGAAACCTGGGTTTAAATTGCATTTCCGCTACTTACTGGCTGTGTGACTCAGACTGTATTACTTAACCTCTCTGGGACTTACTATGTTAATATGCAAAATTGAATAATACCATCAATTTTAAATTGCTATGAAAAATAATGCTCAGACTTTAGTATTGAATGCCACTCCCCACTAAAAGAAACCTGGGATCTTCAAGAAATGGTTGATTCCAGTAATGGCACAGGGTATACATGAGATAAGGCTAGAGTATTTTGCTATGCCAGAAAGTAAGAAATTACCCAAAAATATAGGCATCTCAAAGGACATAAAGAGTCAGTCTGAAGGGGCTCCACTAGCTAAATCTGGGGCAATGTGAAATTTATTAAGTACAGTAATGAATTCATGAGTCATACCAATAATCCTACCAATGATGGGATAGATGGATGAAGGAAGGATGGAAGGATGGATAGGTAGGCAAGTTGGTAAGTAGACAGGTAGAAAACAACATGCTAAGTACCAACTGGCAAAAGTGGAGGGAGGTCTGGAGTTTGAAAAATTATAATTTTGCAACCACCATAGTAAAGATTGGATCAGGTAAGTGCCATCAATGATTGCTAAATATAAGAATACTTTTATAACCTTGAAAGTGTCTCTTCCCACAGACTGATAATTAGTTGCAAGGATGGGGACCCTAATGAAGACAGCTTGACAGCACCTTGACCAGGTGCTCAAATGATCCTCACCATTAAAAGACATCACGCACCTGCAGATGCGATAGCACATCACCTTTGCAGTGCTCCCACTAAGAAAACACAGCCTGAATCTAACCATGAAGAAACATCAGATAAACCCAAAATGAGGAACGTTCTCTTAAAAGCCTTTGTGCGGGGAGCAGGGTTGGGGTAGAGATTTTGGAGAGAGTGGAGAATATGTCTCAAAAATATCAGTGTCATAAAAGGCAAAGAGAAGTTGTGGAAATATTCTAATATTATAAATGAAAGAAAATTAAAGGGACATGACATCTAAACGTAATGCCTGACCTCAGAGCCTTGTACTGGGTGGGCGGGGGGAAATGCTATGAAAGACATTATTGGGTCAATTGACAAAATTAGAATACAAACAGTAGACTGATACAATATTTTCATCTAATGTTAAATTTACTGTACTAAGTTTATACAAGAAAAAAAAATTTTTTTTTTTTTTGAAAATACACACTGAAATATTTGGGAGTAAAAGGGCACATTGTGTATAACTTACCCACAAATGGTTAAGGAAAAAATGAAACAGTCACATCCACAAAGAAGAACACAAAATGGGTAAAATGTTAGCAATAGGTGTATCTAGGTAGGGGTATGTGAGTGCTCTTTCCAGCTATTTTTATTTTTGCAACTTTTCTGTGTTCAAATTTATTTCCAAATAAAAAAAATGATTTGAAACTATCAGGAGTTATAAATGTATAAAAATTGTTTGGCATAGTACCTGGCATAGAGCAAGTATGCAATAATCACTATTGCTATAGTAATATGCAGTAATATGAAGAATTTATAAAATTTAAGTAATATATAAAAGATACAAAAATGGATTACTATTAATAAAATCAATATTATCATAAAGTAGAAAAATCAAACTGACACAGGCTCAGAGGCTAATATCCAGTATGTTGATGTAAAATCACTGGTCCAGCAATATTATTCTTAGCTCTCTCCTGACTCTTTAGTTTCATTTAAACAGTGCCATTTATGTTCAGGAGCATTGAAGAATTAATAAAGCATCACTATATACTACTTTATATTCTTCACTTAAGATACTGCTGTAAAACTAAAACCAGGTAAATGCCATTAACAACAAAATCGATCATCACTCTATGTTCATACAATAGAATACTATACAGCAATGACAATGAATGAACTAGAGCTATGTATGTTAACACTGACAAATCTTAGACGCTTGATATTAAGTAGAAAAAGCAAGTTACAAAGATTATGACAAGTATTAAATCATTTTTACAACATTAAATGACACAAAATAAAGCAACAGTTTTCTGAGGGTACCTATACTTGATGAAAACAAAGAAAAGCAAGAGAGTAATTTTTAAAATTCAGAATAATCGTTGCCTCAGGGTGTGGGGATGGTATAGGAATGAAATTGCAGTGAAACACACAGCAGTCTTTATAGCACTGGTAATGTTCTATTTCATAAGCCTGACAGTGGGTTCTTGGTATTTATTTGGCCTCCATAATTTACGTGAGCATTACATATATTGTGTGCATGTATCAAGAATTTTGTAATTAATGCTTAAATTGCTTTTAAAGATATTGAGATATTGGAAGTGAACAGTGCTACTCTCTTTTAGGATTGCAAAGGATTTTATCTCTTACTACACCGTTTTGAATTATTTAATGGATCTGTTAATGTGTTTGTTTGTTTGTAGGGGGAAAAAAAAGACTGAAGAAAGAAAAATACATCTTTTTATAGTCTGATTTGCCTTAGTTCAAACACTACTTTCATGAGGCTTTCCCAAAGCCAAATATTATCTAAAACTACCTCTTTCATAAAACAAAATATGATTCTCAGTAAAAAGCAAAATGCAAATTAAGGTGGTATTACCATGCATCTAATTAGTAATTAGATATTCTCAGCCATCTGGAATCTAGAAATAAGGGAAAAGGGTCTAAGAACAATGAAGAAAAATAACTGTCAACTGATTTCTTAAGAAAGACAGAGATTCTCCCAGATTCTGGTAATATTGTCTAAGGAATTAGAAATGAGTGAAAACCAAGGTTATTGACTTAGTGCACATGATTTGCTCTGGTAATCCTTAGTTCTCTTCTAGTTACAATTAGAAAGAGTATGTGTTTGTATGCAGGGGGAAGGAGCAGCGTGCAAGAGAATGAGAGCTAATAAAGGATATGCCAATTCCTAGCACAAAAATCTCAGTGAGCAGGAAGCTAAGCCCCACATTCCTCGGTGAGCTCTGAATACCTCCAAGGGCTGCAGTATGGCACACTAATTCTTTTTCACAGTGACAGTTCTAAGTCATTAAGGAAAAGTTAAACTCTTAATTCATCAAATATTCAAGGAACACAAACTATGTGCCATTCACTCTGCCATATGTTGGGGAAAAAGAGAGAAAATCACTGCCCCTGGCCTCAAGAAACTCACAAATAGATCAGAAAACACCTAATACACTTCAGAAACATTTCCAATTTATAAAAAAAAAAAAAGGTTAAAATAAAAGAACAATTTAAAATAAAAAGTCTCAGTCATTTGACAATTCTCTTATGTGAAACCTTGATTTCTCAATAAAACCAGGGAATAAAAACAAGACTCCTCTATTAAAATCCTTATTATTCTCCTCCTAAACAAAATCACTTCTGAATGGAGGGAAGGCCATGAAAAGGTTGAAGTAAGAGGGCCTAAAGCAACCATGTCTTCCAAAGGCAAAAGGAAATCTAGGGGAAGGGCACACATTGAGTAGGAATAACATTACACATTTGTTTGCTCAAAAACCATGACACATCTTTAATCTCCCTCCAAAGCCACCCTCCAGAAGTGTGGTTATGGATGTCACAAAGATCAGTCGGCATCAAACCCCATTACCAGCTTCTGCTTCTGTTTCTTGCAAGGCCACAGTCTCAGCATGGTGTCCAGAATGGGGTGCAGGAAGGGCAACCAGGACTCCAGGGTCTCCTCTGCCAGTAGCACCCGTGCCAGGGTCCTGACAGACCTTGGCCATGTTGCTCTGAAACAGAACACCTTCGTATTTAATGCCTAGTATTTAACATGCTAATATTCAAAAAAAAATTTTTTTAAAACACTCCTTGAAAAAAAAACCTGCCTAAATTATCACCAATATTTTTTCTTACGGTATTAATGTGAATACTGTCATTACTATGAACTAGTCTCTGATGACCATGTTTTCTAACTTAGAACACTCTCTGGCAGAGGATTGGTGGCCAGCTATGAAACAAATAGAAGATATGAATTTAAGATATTTTAAGAGTTTATGTTATCAACCATAGGGCAGACTCGGTGAAATCAAAATTGTTCTTGAAAATCCAGAACATTTTCACTAGAGCAAAAATCAAATTCATTAGAAAATGTAATACCATGTTTTTGCCTTCCATGAATTGGAAGTAACAGCAGTAAAAAAAATAAAATTTTAACTTACATACTATGCTATATGTTTCTAAATACTTTACTGTACCCTGCCATTTTGTAAGGAAGGCCAGCTGAACTCCAATGTTAAGGAGAAAAACTGCGGCTCACCTAAGTTATAATGCATCTTGCACAAGAGCATTTCTTTACTAACAGGCATTGAATACTTTCTGCCTTCTACTCTCTGTTACAGGCAATTGTGCTACTAAAGTAATTAACAGTAAGACATTCTTTTAAGGCAATATTTTCAGATTTTGGACAACTACTAAATCCCAAAGAATGACCTTGAGAGGGCTGTCTTGCTTAATTACTTAAAACACATTATATGTACTTGATTCTAGAAGCCTTGATTTTGATTATGAGAAACTCATTTAACTGACTGTCAGGAAACCTACCTACAATGCCCAACAAAAGCAGGAATCAGCAGTTAAAGAGAAAAGGCAAATTCTGAACATTCAAGAGGACATGGCTGTGGTTGAGGCCAAAAGGAGAAATAAAAGTGGAGCCCAAAGGTAGTCAATGTTTCCAGTGTCTCCTAAAAACTGGAGAGAAGCTAAGATAACAAAAGAGGCGGGAAGCAGCAATGGTTTTTTCTTAGCTTTGACTTGACTGAAGTGGTAAAAAACAGAAAGAATGCACATCCTTAAGTTTTGTTCAAAAATTTTGTTCCAATTGATATTTCTCTTTTATCCATTATGAACTGTTGTATTAGTATATTTTGATAAGGCATTTATTTCCTTGGACACTTGATTTTTAATTCATTTCATCTTTTCTGTATTAAAAAAAATTTCTCATCATCTAAATTATTTTAACGAGACTTTTTTATGTATAGTGATCAGTTTTCCTGTTTTAATGTTTATGGACAGTTTTAAAAACTATAAATTTAATAAATCATCAATCACAGCTCTTCACTTTTATGGCCCCTATACTACAAATGTATTATAATCACTGCTTTACCTCAAGGTTCTGAAGCGAGCTAGCTTTAAAACAGCAAAAGTCAAGTACTAGTCTATGACCAATGCCAGATTAGGCATTTCAAAGCCACCCTTTTCTCAGGAATGGAATCTGATCCCACCCAAAGCCACAAGTCTATGTTCTTAGCCAAATTACGTGATTCTGTCTCCATAGACATGTAAGCCACATTAGGTCATATAAATGATCTTATACTGTTTGCACAATTAGAAGCCCTACTAAAGCACCCCAGATTTGGTTACATATTAATGGCAGAAGAAAGGTGTTACATTTTCTTGATTTTTATAGCAGAGATCGCCTTTTCAGGAATGCAAGCTTGAAAGCATATATAATATGATTTTCCCATCACTTCTCATCATTAAAATCACCTATAGATAATTCTTATTTTAATTATCTATTTTCCCCAAAATTCTCAGTAAAGTATTAAAAGTGGTATTCATGGAAAGTAGCTCACACAATTATCCTTAAATTGGAAGCAGCTACTAAGTAATAACATCTGTGTGAAATCAAGAATTAAAAATATCAACTGGAATGAAAGAAGATGGGGTAGACTGATCTTTCAGGTCCCTTCGGCTCTAAAATTCTGGGATGCAGAAAGGCCAACCTGCATCATGTGTATCCTACCGAAACCCAAGGAACGAGACTAAACCCAAGGGCTTTGTACTTTCTTTTTCTGATGATCAACAATACTGTATGACTACCCAAGGTAATAAATTAGTTACCCCTACATATGGGCTAGAACTCAGAATTTTTTCCTAGCTTGTAACTCTTTCCAGGAGGCATTAATACCAAATGCTCCACCCTTGCCTTGAAAATCTTTACTCTCACAGCATTATCTCCACTCTTCTACCGGACAAACCTTATAATACTGGCTTTTTTTTTTTTTTCTTCCTTCCTCTAATTCCAACTGTTGAAATCGGCTGAATCACAATGCCCAGAATATCATTCTGGATTTTTCACACATACCAACTGAAAGCTGGTGTCAGAAAGTACTTATACAACTAAAAGAGTAAAACTAATTTATTATACATGCATATATATAGTACACGAACTAAACAGTTTTGTGTGAGTGAGCCATGCCTCTATTTGCTTGTTTCTACATCAATATTCCTTGTCCTTGCTTGGCATTTTATCTACATGAGACAAAAATTTTTTGAGGGCAAGAAATAGACTTCTAAACTCTGTAGAAGCTCTTAAGAAGCCCTAGTCAAATGATGCATATTTCCTGAATGCCCAAAAAACAAAATAGGAATGAGTCATTCAGTTACTGAAATCTTAGGCCCTTACAATGTATAGCATTTTCTTTTCTTGAAAAAAAATCTATAGGCTAAAAGCTCTGCCTCATATTTATGGCACTATGAAGAAGTAATGTTCTTTTGGCAAAAAACAAAAAAACAAAAAACCAACAATCCTTTGGATTTGCTACAAATGGTTTTTTAGATCACTGGTTTAAAAAAAAGATACACAGTCTTGCATCTATTAAACTGTAAAATGAGAAGAAAAAATACCATATGCAATTTTTACAATCATCCCTGATATTTAATAATAGTTCTTTTCACTTCTCAGGAACATACCTTTGCCCATTCTGAGCTGGCATTTTCTTTAAGTAGGGAGAGTATATCTTGAAATGCTTTCTGAAGGCAGGCCTTTAGTTTTTCAAAATACTGCACAGTCACCCATTTTGAAGAACAAGTCGACACAAGGTCTGAAAGTTGCTTGTTCTCTGAACCACTGATATGCTCCTTTTGTATATCCTCTAAGAGAAGTTCAAGGACAGTTAGAATGTCTTCCTCATACTGATCGATTTCCAGTTGGATCCGCCCCGCCTCCTGCATAGTCCACTCTCTGCGACTCTGGTCTAGACATGTTTGTAATTCTGTCTCCTTCTGAAGAAGGAGTTCAGTTTTTTGTTTCAGAAAGTCTTCTTTAGCAGTTGCAAGCACCTCATTAATTTTATTTCGATGATCATCTAAAAATTGCCGGTAATCTTCCTCATTTTGTTCTTGAATTTTGCGAATTTCTTCCTCCTTTTCTTTGTTCCATTCACTCCAGGCCTTAGCCAACTCAGCCCTCACAATCACAGGGACTTCCTCATCCTTTAATACTAGCTCTCTCTGAAGGGAATGAATCTTCTCTTCCAATTCTTTTCCAGGTATTACATTTTTCTTCATATTTTCAAGCTCACCTTTCCATTTCTCTTTAGCTTCAGAAACAGCAAACAATATCTAAAGGACATAACAATGTACATTTAATTCTCCTCATTAATAAAAAATTAAAATTAACAATTTGGGTTAACAAGAGAACTTAATAAGAGATTTAAAATCAAAATTAAAGGGAAACAGTGAATTTAGATAAGACATTATTCCTAAAATATTCTTATACAATACTTAAGAATCTTTTCCTTCATATCAAATCACCTAACATTTTATCTCATGGCAAAAACTACAAGTGTTTCCCCTTAAGATCGGGAACAAGACAGGGATGTCCACTTTCACCTCTCTTATTCAACATAGTACTGGAGTCCTAGCCACAGCAATCAGACAAGAAGAAGAAATAAAAGGCCTCCAAATTGGAAAGAAGGAAGTAAAACTGTCATTATTTGCAGACAACATGATATGGTACATAGAAAACCCTATAGAGTCCACCAAAAAACCACTAGGCCAAATAAATGAAATTTGGCAAAGTAGTGGGATACAGAAATCAATAATCAGAAATCAAGGACATTTTTATACACCAACCATGAACTATCAGAAATAGAAACTAAGAAACAATCCATTTATTATTGCAACAACAAAAAAGTATCTACGAATAAATTTAACCAAGGAGGTAAAAAGACCTGTACTCAGAAAACTGTAGGACACTGAAGAAAGAAATTGAGGAAGACACAAATAAGTGGAACTGTGTTCCTGGTTTGGAAGAAATGAGATTATTAAAATGTCCTACTACCCAAAGCAATCCATAGATTCAACTCAATTCCTATTAACACATCAATGGCATATTTCACAGATCTATCACGAATACTCCAAAAATTCACATGGAATCAAAAAAGACCCCGAACAGCCTCAACAATCTTGACAAAGAAAAACAAAGTTGGGGGAAATCACAATACCTGATTACAAGCTATACTATAAGGTTACTGTAATCAAAACAGCCTGGCACTGGCATAAGAACAGACCTATACATTAATGGAACAAAACAGAGAGCCCAGAAATAAACCCACACCTTTATGGTCAATTAATATTTGACAAAGGAGAAAAGAACATACAATGAAGTAACGACTGTCTCTTCAATAAATGGTGATGGGAAAACAGGACTGTTACATGCAAAGAAAATGAAGTTAGACCACCAACTTATACCATACAAGAGAATAAACTCAAAATGCATAAAAGACTTATAAAAGTCACAATACCATAAAAATCTTAGAGGAAAACATAGACAGTAAATTTTCAGATATCTCAGGTAGCAATATTTTTGCCTATATATCTCCTAGAGCAAGAGAAACAAAGAAAAAATAAACAAGTGGGACTACATCAAATTAAAAAGCTTTTGCACAGCTAAAGAAACAATCATCAAAATGAAAAGGGAACCCAAAGTATGCGAGAGCATACTTGCCAATTACATATCAGACAAGGGTTTGATCTCCAAAATATACAAAGAACTTATATAACTCAATACCAGGAAGACAAAAAAAACCCCAATTAAAAAATAGGCAAAGGACCTGAATAGACACTTCTCTAAGGAGGACATACAAATGGCCCATAGACATATGAAAAAATGTTCAACATCACTAACCAACAGAGAGATGCAAATTAAAACCACAATGAGATATCTCTTCACACCTTGTCAGATTAGCTACCATTAATAAATCAACAAACATTAAGTAATAGCAAGGATGTGGAGAAAAGGGAATCCTAATGCACCATTGGTGGGAATGCAGACTGGTGCTGTCACTGTGGAAAATAGTATGGAGTTTCCTCAGAAAATTAAAAATGGAACAGCCTTTTCACCCAGCTATTCCGCTTCTGAGAATATATTTTAATAATCCCGAAACCCCAATTGAAAAGAATATATGCACCCCCATGGTCAGAGCAGTGCTATTTACAATAACCAAGACTTAGAAACAACCTAAATGCCCATCAGTAGATGAGTGGATAAAAAAAAAATCTGTGGTAAATTTACACAATGGAATACTATGCAGCAGGAAAAAAAAGGAAATCCTACCTCTTGAGACAGCATGGATGGACATAGAGACTATCACACTAAGTGAAATATGCCAGTCAATTTAAGATAAATACCATATGATCTGACTTATATGTGGAATTTAATGAACAAAATAAACTAATGAGCAAAATAGAATCAGAGGCACAAAGACATGGAACAGACTGACAGCTATAAGAGGGGAAAGGGTGGTGGGGGCTGGTTGAAAGAAGGTGAAGGGAGTAGCCAAAGAACACATACGTATGACCATGGACATGGACGACAGTGTGGAGGTTGCCTGAGGGGGTAAGAGGGGTGCTGAGTAGAGGGGGACAAAGAGGGAAAAATTCGGAGAACTGTAATAGCATAAACAATAAACTATTTTTAAAAACATCAACAAAAATAAAAACCAAAAACATCAGTTTCTTGATGAAGAACTAGAAATTTAAACTGACAAAAATATGTAATTATGTAATTATTCAAAACCAATTTTAGAAAAAATCCATATCAGTTTTTTAAGACAGAAACAATCTTAAATTTTATCTAAGGAACCAAAACAAATTAAGTATCTTCCACATGAAGCAAAAGCAGTCTCATAAGGAAGTCTTGCTATTATTTAGGAATATTACATATGCCCGAGTAATTACTTGCTGACAAACGTAAATGTATTTTAATGCAATTTTAGTGGTTAGAACAGTTCATTAAATGACAATAACAAACAGAAAAGGCCAATTTTTTCCCTTAATTTAATTTTATTTTATAACAGAGCAGAAATATCAGATCATAGAAAATAAGACTACGTAACCAAAGAGTAATAGGAAATGAGACCACCTGGGCTCTAACTCTAATCCTGTTTCTGTGAGGAAGCTCTGGAGACCAACTGCCCTGGGATCTCAGGAATGAACAGCTTGGGGACCTCAGGCACACCCCTCAGCTTCTTTGAGCCTCAGTTTCCTCATCAATAAATTACCATGCCCACCTGAGAGTTATTTTAGGACTAAATGACAAGGAGATAAGCCATTTAAAGCACTTAGCCCAGAGTGTGGCGAACAATAAGGACTCAATAATGATATGTAGTTATTATTGCTTTTGGCTTCTTGGCCTTGGAAAAGTCAATCTCTTTAGCATTTTAGTGTCTTCATCTATATAATGAGCAAATTGGATAATGATCTGGAGTGCCTTTTACTTCTAATATCCCCTGACTGAATCCAAAGAAGTCATTAGAATACTACCATTCAATAGTGTTAAAAGAAGAACTGGACCTCTCCAACAGCCTGGACTAGACAGTGATAACTGTTATAATTAATACTAAATATATGCTCTGAATGTTGAGATAGGCTATCTGTTTACTAAATTTTCTACTATATTATTGTAGCAAACATCTTCACCAATATAGATTTATAAACACATTGTATAACTTTATTCAATAGTATGTGCTCCTAAACAGTTGCACATAATGAAAAGTTCTTGAAGTAACTGCATTTTAAGTTTACTAAAGGAACCCACTATCTAAAATGAGCTTTACAAAGGAATTCACAGTAAAACTCTCTTGCTTACCAGCAGAATAATTCAGTAGTATATGAAACATGTTTACAGAATGCTTTAAAGAAAACCGTCCATGTTGCAATGGATGCCTGGAAACCACCGCTAGGTGACTTGGGCGGAGATGGCAGATCCCACAGAATTTGGAGAGCTGGCCCAGTCTCACTAAAAGTGCACATCCTCTCACAGGAAGCCTTACAAGGAGACTGACTCAGTGGTTCCCAACTTTGCTGCACATGAGAATCACCTGAGAAGCTTTTAAAAATCCTGATGCCCAGGTCACACCCCCTAACAATCAAAACAAAGTCTGGGAGTGGGAGCCAGAAAACAGGTTTTTTTTTAAAGATCCTCAAGTTTTTCCAATGTATCAAGATGTATTATGATACAGATCTGAAATATTCGATTTAATTTTTTAAAATAACCCCTTAATCAACCTAGATTTCATTGTGATACAGGGTGTCAGAAAACTTAATTTTTCCAAAGTGTTTTCTGGCTACCATAGAAGTATTTATTATAATATTATTTATCATTCTGTTGTTTTGACATAATTATTGAGTTTTTATGTATAGCTGAGCCTAACTCTGAAGTCTGTACTTTAATGAATGAAAGAGAATTTCATATTTGTGACTGTATCTATACTGTCTGAATTGTTGCTTTCCAGTATATTCATTCTGTGCTAAGGTTGGACTACTACTTATTTTCTAGAACATTAAAAAAAAATCTTTAGTCCTTTCAGTTTTCCAAATAAATATTAGAATCATTGTGTCAAATTTCATAACTATGTTCAGTTTAATGGCGTTTTGATTAGAATTGATTTACACTAGCAAATTAAGTTGGGAGAACACAAATGATTATAGTCAAGGAATATGACAGCTCTGGAAAGGAGAGCTGGATTGGGTATTAACTGAGGAGAATATGTTATAACACTACTGACACAGCACAAAAAACAACCTTTGAGCATGTGAAAGAATATTGTATAGCTAATAAACAGTGAAACACGTGTCCTCAATTTTTCCTAAGGATCTGGCACAACAGAATGAAATTCAGTTTCACAGGTAAGGTTATCTTCCTGATTGTGTGAGTTTCAAGACCCTAAAATACGTTCTTTCTCCCTGAACAACTTGATGACAAGAACAGGTACCACTAGCAAGGCTCTGAGCTAATATTTAACTTCCATTATCTTATTTAATCCTTCAACAACGCTGTGAGTAAACACTAATTGCCAGGACTGAGGTGACAGAAGAGGGCAGCAGAAGGGCCCTCCTACAGCCTCTTCCCAGGAGAGTTCTTACCCGCTTGGCCACAGAGATCTCTTGCTGCTCTTCCCACCTCTTCTGTTCTGCTCTTACACGGGCTTTATACTCTGCAAGCTCAGGCAGTTCTTGCAGCCACCGATGACGAGCATTTTGCACAGCTGTTTCTACCTGCAGGATATTGCAAAGGAAAGGGGTAAAGGGAGGTATAAAAATTGCAAAAGGATCCCATTTGCACATAGCAACTATGACATCATGTGTATTTTACATTGCACGGTATTGCATCACAGGTATGACTGGCTTTAAGTGCCTCACCTTACCCCAAACAATAGATTCTGATCCTTCTGTTCTAAACATCCCATACTGTTCCATGTAAATGCCACTGCAGGAGGGCTGCTTGGTGCCAGTTGCTGTCCAACTGGTACACCCACCACCTCCTCCATCCTCACACTCTACATATACACACACATACGCACACACATGCATGCATGTGTGCAAGCACCAACAGAGTTTAGAGCCTAACACTTGGAAAATTTTCCTGCTTTCAAGAATTAGTTTGTGACTAAAGAATAAGGGTAATACATCAATTCAGGCAAAAATTTAAGACTTGATGAATTATAAGGGTAATCTGCTTATAAATCTGCTACAAGCTTCCACAAGATCATTTATTAAATAATCATTCCCTATTCTCGTTTTCAAATACACACAAACACACACACATATATCCATGCACACACAAAAGCACGGTTGACACAAGAGGCTGTATATCTCACCAAAATATTAAATATATTTATAGATAAGCTCCAAAGTGTTAAAAATATGGGGAAAAGATAAAGTTCCTAGAGAAACTTACATTCCTTAAGAAGTTATTATGAACAATTTCCTTTCAACTATATTATGCTATTTGTTTTTCTTCACAAGATCTGTAATTTTATAAATACCAAAACTGAACCCTTAAACATGTCTATTTGTTTAAGGAACATTCTCTTACTCTGTCCAAGTCTTACAGTAAGTACTTCAGAAAATTATTTTCTTACTGATTGAAGATCAGTAAAATTCTTGATACTATTACCTATATTTGCCTATGGTTCTAGATGTTAAGGATGCCCTTTAAAATCAGGTAGAACAATTTAACAGATAAGCAGAATTTCAAGTATTTAGCAAAAGCAGAGTATATTTTTTAAAACATTACTTCAGGTTATTATCTTAAGATTTAATAAGTAATAGTTCTAAATAATAAATACACAATAAATAATATATTAAGGCTCCAGAAACTTCTAAGGAACAGAAACCCTATCAGGTGGTCTATGAGGTCAGAACTATTTTGAAAATAATATCGAGACATTATCAGTCTCTTTTATCTCTGTTCTGCCATGTGGAAATGGTACAGTTCTCCAGGCAACACGCAATGTGATGGTGCCCCTATTCAAAAAGCCAATGGAATATGTTCTAGAGTAGTCTCGTTTTTTAAAAATTTCTTATGCAAAGGTAAGTTGAAAACAAAAAATTTGAGAAATACTACAATTGATAATACAGATAAAACAAACAGCTCATCTTTATTCTGTCAGCACAGAGCTGTACTTTTCTCAATATGACATTTCTTGGAAACCAAGTGATAAGCAAGTTGTAAGAGAGCCGGCTTTTTGAGTGTGTCCAAGGGAAGGCAATGACACTGCTTTGGGGCAGAAAGTGGGAATTGTAGACCAAGTCCATCTTACAAGATTTGCCTGCACACTGAAGTCCACAAGTCTCAATACAAATATTGCAAATACCATATCTATAACTGTTTTAGTGGAATGCTTTCTATAAAGTTAGACATGAAAGATTCATAATAAAATTGTGCTTAATTCAGCTATAAAACCACCATCTTTAACCTCGGGTATCTGAATGCTTAGAGTGACCTCAGAGGAGCCAACATTTTGTAAACTGAAAGAATATATAGAAACATTGAGCACGACAGTTTTAAAATGGAAACATAATGAAGAAAATGTGAGGAACCACCTAAGGGGCTATCTACCCTAGAATGTGCAAAATTTTTTAAGTATAAAGTTATGAACAAGTTCAATGGTAGTATTTTATAGGCTTTTGTTCATAGACAAGCAGTTCCAATAATTCTACCAAAATAAACCTATTACCTGTTTGGCAATGTTTTCACAGTATTTGAGTTCCAACTCAACCTCAAGTTTCTTCAAGGCCCCCTTGACAGCTGTTTCCTTTTCTTGCTCTGAATCTTGCTGGATCTTTCGTTGCTGTTCGTCTACTGTGAGTGCCATCTCTTTCTGGGAAATAACATCAACAGTGGTTACTTGGTCAGTCTGGCTGTAACAATCAGAGGTCTTCTTTTTCACTGCCTTTATAGTTTGATCCAGCTTGGACTGCCACTCCTTTTCGAGCCGTTGAGTAAGTTCTTCTTTCATCTGTTTTCAAAAGAAAAATCATATGAAAAGAAAAATATTCAAATAATTATTAGTAAAAACTAGAACATAGCCAAAAATGCAACCACAGCTGTGTTTGAAAACCATCTAGACATTGTTGTAATAATTACATGAGGTTTAGAAATTCAGTCAGTGGAAATACAGTCTCTAGTAAATCCTGAAAGTTACTCTTTGACCTTATCTATGTGACATAAATCACATGGAAGATTTAACTATGTTTTGTAAGGCCAGGTTATCTTGCTCTCAACATGCAACCAGCTGGAGGCTTTGACCTTGCCAATATAAAGATGGCATGATAGCCATGGCAGGTGTAGCTCAGTTGGTTGAGTGTTGTCCCATAAACCAAAAGGTTGCAGTTTGATTCCTGAGTCAGGACACATGCCTAGGTTGCAGGTTCAGTCCCCAGGAAGGGCATGTGTGGGAGGCAACCAATCAATGATTCTCTCTCAGAGCGATGTCTTTCTCCCTCTCTTTCTCCCTCCCCTCCTCTCTCTCTTTAGGGAAAAAAAAAAAAAATAGGGGAGGGAGAGAGGGGGAAGGAGAAGGAAAAAACTTTTGCTATTAATATGTGTTTTTCCAGCCCTGGCCACGTAGCTCAGTTGGTTGGAGTATCATATCAATACCTCACAGTTGCAGGTTCTATCCCTGGTCAGGGCACACACAGGAATCAACCAAACAGGAATCAACCAAATGCATAAATGAATGGAATAACAAACTAATGTTCCTGTTTCTCTCTTTCCCTCTCTCTCTCCCCCACACTCTAAAATCAATAAACAGACCGCCCTTGGATTTCCAGTCAAGATGGCAGCATAGGTGAACACGGTTCACCTCCTTGCACATCCACATAAACATTACAACTAAATTATAGAACAGCCATCACTCAGAACCATCACAAATCAAGTTGAATAGAATTCCAACAACTGTAGAATTTAAAAAACCACATCCATCCAGATGGGTAGGAGATGCAGAGACATGGAGACTTGGCATGGGCTGGGCCCACCCTCTGCATGTGGTGGATAAAAATTTGGGAGAGATATCTCAGGAGCAAGGAGTCCCAACTCCACACCAGGCCCCTCAGCCTGGGGTTCCAATGCCATGAAGATAAGTCCCTACAGCTTCTCGCTGCAAAAACCAGTGGGGATTTAGTTGGTAGAAGAAACTGATGGAGTCCCAAGCAATTCCTCTTAAAGAGCCCACACATGGACTTACTCAGATTCACACCCTCTGAGCTCCAGCACTGGGGTAGCAGCTTGAAAGGACCCAGTGTCATATAGGAACTGAAGTGTCTGGCCTCAAGGCAAGAGGGAGCTGGGAAACAGCTTTCTCCCAGATGGAAAAGTGGGCAGAGGGCATTGTCCCTTTTCTGAACCCACCCCCTACAGAGCCACAGAGCCAGCATGTGGTGCCTTATCTGAGACCCTATCAACCTGGCTTACACTGTTTGTGCTGCCCTGGAGATCCCCTGAGGCTCCATCCCACCCAACTTACAGGCCCACCCACGCAGTTTACAGTGGCTTTTCCATATGAATGGCTGGCCTTGGCTTAGGCTCACAACTTCCTAAATCCTCTCAAACAAGCAATGGCTGGTATCAGTGAGCCCCTAGCCCCAGCACCTCTTGCTAAGTGGCCCCAGGCCCAGTACTAGCAGCAAGGAGCTTTGGGTCACTGTTTGGCATCACCTGGGAACCTCCAACCCAGCACAAGTAGCAGCCATCTCAGGTTGCTTTATAGCTCCTGTAGGGTGGCCCCAGGCAGAACACAGGTTGGGGATAACCTTGGCCTGCATCACCCAGGAAACCCCAGGGCAGGCTCACCCAGTGAAAAGCTAAAGACCACATCAGGGCACCACCACCCTGCCCCTCCACATATGATCTTCCATGGAGGGCAAAGGGTGGTAGTCAGTGGTGACAGCTAGTCCTTGCATTGATCTGCCAACAGCAATCAAGGTTCAACTACAAGAGGTGGGTGTACTAAGACTACACAAAGGGTGAATCTCGAGTACCCAGCTTGGGTGATAGGGGAGGCTGTGCCACTGGATCCTACAGAACACCTACTACATTAGGCCATACTACCAAGACACGGAGTCAAAGCAGCTCTACCTAATACATAGAAACAAACACAGGGAGGCTGTCAAAACAAGGAGACAAAGAAACATGGCCCAAATGAAAGAACAGATTAAAACTCAAAAAAAAAAAAATAAAAGAGTTAAAGAAATGGAGATAAGCACTCCATCAGGTGCAGAGTTCAAAACACTGGTTATAAGGAGGCTCAAGGAACTTAGTAAGGACCTCAGCAGCATAAAAAAAAAAAAAAGCAGTCAGAAACGAAGAATACATTAATTGAAATAAAGAACAATTTACAGGGAAACAACAGGAGACTGGATGAAGCTGAGAATCAAATCAATGATTTGGAACATAAGGAAGCAAAAAACAACCAATCAGAACAAGAAGAAAGAAAAAGAATCTAAACAAATGAGGATAGTATAAGCAGCCTCTGGACGAACTTCAAGAGGCCCAACATTCACATCATAGGGGTGCCAGAAGGAAAAGAAAAAGAGCAAGAAATTGGAAATCCATCTGAAAAAATAGTGAAAGAAAACTTTCCTAATTTGGTTAAGGAAATATACATTCAAGTCTAGGAAGCACAGAGAGTCCCAAACAAGATGAATGCAGAGAGGCCCACATCATAACATCATAATAAAAATGCCAAAGGGTAAAGATAATGAGAGACTCTTAAAAGCAGCCAGAGAAAAGAAGTGTGTTACCAGAAGGTTCCCAGATGAGAGGGGGAAGGAGGAGAATGGCTGAAGAGGTGAGGGGATTAAGAACAAATAGGTAGTTAGAGAATAGCCATGGGGGTGTAAAGTCCAGTATAGGAAATGGAGCAGCCAAAGAACTTCCAGGCTTGGCCCATGGACTTGAACAATGGTGCGGAGACCGCCTGAGGGAGAAGAGAGTGCTGGATGGATGAGGGCAAAGGGGGAAAATTCAGAACTGTAATAGCATATTCAATAAAATATAATAATTTAAAAAAGAGAGTTAATTTTATTGTAGGACAGTTTTTAAATTTCAAAGAAAAAAGTTCAACCTGTAAGTTTCCTCGGAAGGGCCCAAGAGCAGTTTTGACTTTCCTTTCTGCCCCAGTGCAAGCACTCAACAGCCAAAGTATCAATCCGCAGCAGCTATTAATTGCGACTGCCTGATTATATGAAATACAATTTTACAGCCAGATTGATTCCTTTCTTTTCTTAATCCTCACCTGAGGGTATGTTTTTATTAATTCTGGAGAGAGAGGGAGGGTGAAGGGGAGCGAGAGTGTCGGAGAGAGAGAGAGAAATGCTGATGGGAGAGAAACACTGATCAGTTGCCTCCCATACACCCCCTGACTGGGAACCAAACCCGCAACCAAGGTATGTACCCTGGCCAGGAACCACCCTGCAGCCTGCTGGTGCATGGCACAACACTGCAACCAAGCAACCAGTCACGCCCAAGTTGTTTCTTTTAAAAGTACCAGAAAATATATTCCTGAAAAGGATGACTTCTTTGAGGGAATTACTCATGTCCTTGCCAATTCATACATTTTTTAAAAAAGAATCATACTAGATACCTTCTTATTTTAATTTTTTAAAATTATTGAAAGTTAACTCCTTAATTTCTAGGTAATTTAAGATCCCTTCTGACTTTTCACTGCCCGCACTACGAACTGTAACAGCTCCCTTTAGAAGTTAGAATACATGGTGTGGTTTTTCTTACCATACTGACCTACTCAAAAATAATCAAAATATTAAATGAGTTGAGTTCCTCACCTGCTCCTTACCATTCTTTTTAAGTCTGTGGTAGCAATAGCTTGCTTTAATGCAATGTATTCAAAAAGCCCTGTATAAAACATTTACTCAGGCCTTTAAAAATATTTTCTAATCTTGACGCAGGTGGCTTTCAACTTGTGGTCTGTAGCTGGTCCAAGGCGGGAGTCAGATGTGTGCCTGGATGAGGCTCCGGCCGGGACCGGGAGGAGGAAAGGAGGGGCCTCCCTTTCTATGTGACTTTACTCCTGGACACTCACCAAGGGCAACTTGGAGGATTCGGACAGGAGTAGAGAGCACACTGCAGCCCCTCCGGCCTCCCCAAAAAAGGTCCCACCAACACTGACCTTCTTCTTCCTAACCTCCATATCACTGCCTTCTATCACGAAACCTAACTTCAAATTCCCACTCTGAGCCCCAGAATAAAATGATGTGTAGATACTGACAGGAAATAGGGCGGATGAAAATGTCTCTGAAGGAATACTTTGTACAGGACTCACAGGGCTAGATAGGGTTGCCTGAGTAAATGCAAAAAGTAAATGCAAAATGAGGATCCCTGGGTTTCAGAGTCAGTGACTCAGGTCCACTCTTACTTTCAGAACTCATTTCTGCCTCTTAGAATAACTCAATAAGGACGAATAATTTTCTCCTATATGTAGGCCAATTTCTATTAAGGTTTCAATAATCATCTCAACCATATTTTGTGAGATATATTAGTGTGATATAGCCAAAAATAAAGAGACTTCTAGGTGTGCCTTCCCCATTGTGCAAGACCACAAGTGTATTGGTTTCATTCAATGACAACAGTGAGACCAGAGAAGTCAAATGAATAAACATCACATGAACTTGTACTGTACCTTCTCCTGAGCCTGTTGCTCCTTTTCAAGGGTCTTCTTGAAAGTGGATTCTAGATTATCCTTTTCCCTGCACACTTCCAAGTAACACTCCTGCACAGCAGCTACTTCCTTATTCATCTTATCTAATTCAGCCCTGGATGCACAAAACCAGCAAGTAAATGACCACAAAAAAAATACAAGGGCTACAGCACAATTTTCTCTAAACTATGAAAGACAGGAATATTGTCTTACAGATTCAAGGGCAGCTAAACTCTTCTATTCTCACCTCAGTTGCAAGCGAGTCGCCTCATAAACTTCAAAGAGCTGCTGCTTCTCCAAAGCATGCTTTGCTAACAGGCTCTCTCGTATTTGGGCTTTCACAGCTTCATGGTGCTGCTGGTAAGTCCTCTCACACCTGGAAACAGAAGGTGGACAGTGGACTCTAAGGCAGTGCCTGGCATTACTGGATGAACTGGTTTCCTGCCCTTCCTTCCCACTCACTCTTCTCTAATGCAAATTCTAATTAAGGTCACATTGGTTTTCCCCAACCAAAAATAGTAATAATCTTCAATATATGATCTTATATAAATCTCCAAATTCTTCTTCAAATGTTTCTAGGAAAAAATTAGAAACCTGAAAGTAAGGATGTTCCAATCCTTCAGAGATAATAGTCTGTGTTGAGGACTTGTTTATTATGGGGAAAAAAAATTGAAATAATCTAGGTTGGGATTCCAAAATTGCAAGTCATCTATATTAAATGCAAATACTAGTATTACCAAACTCACAAGTAAGTTATGCTCCAAAAGTCTGTTTCCAAGTTTATGATTTGGTATTTGGAAGACATATCCTCTCTCACAGATTTCTTTCTTATAAAGAACAGTTTCCCAAACTAGTCTTTAAAACATCATTAAGCGATACCATTTCAGTGAACTACCATTTGATGGTGCTATAGAATCCAACCCACTACATAACATCATTTCTATGGAAAATGAGTTCCAAATTCTAATTTGAGAAGCCAAGGACTCATCTTCTCCAATCCAAGGTCTCAGTAGGGAGGGTTCACTCCATCATTTGTCTCCATTCTCTTTTTTGGGGGGTGGGGGCGATGGGAAGAGGGAATATAGGGCAGAGAAAAGGAAGAACGTGCTCAGGGAGCAGGAATTAGGTTTCTGTACACACTTTACCTATTAACAGTTTCTTGTTTATCATGGTCAAAATCTTGTACCATTTGTCTCATTTGATTACATAAGTCCTGATTTGAATTTCTCAGTTTTTCTTCAGTTTCTTTAAGTGCCTAGATACAAAAGAATAAAGTATTTAGTGGAAACAACATCATTTTCAATGATCAGTCTAATCTCATTTTTAACATCCTTTGTACTTTAGCTCTACCCTGTAACATTATCTGACATAATATCATTTTTGTAATTCTACAAAAGTCTCTTCATGCCTTGATAAGAGTACAGAATCATTTATTTGTTCAACAAGTAGCTTTCTGATAAAAGCAAATATTAAAGTTTTGTATTTAATTTGAAATATATGAAATGAAAACACTTAACCAGAGAAGTGTTGGCTAACTGATGCCTTAAAATAACCCTTAGAATTAATAGTCTTCAGTAACCTTCTAAATAAGCAAGGTTTTCCTTTTTGGTCAAGGGCTGGCTAAGGAGGAAAGAACATCTCTATAGGCCATGTTACTATATAGAGAGAAAGCTGGATTTACACTAACTTACCTTCTAATAAACTACTACCTCATAACCAATACTAAAGGGAAATAACCGGGACCCTTAATCACCTACTAATATCCTTGTGTACTAACTCATATTGCCTTTGTATTTTTGAAAAGTCTATTATACCCTTTGCATTTAATGAGGCCATAAAAGTTCTCACAAAATATAAAAATTTTTTAATTACCTGATTTTGTTGTTGTAAAACCTGGATTTCATTTTTAAGTCGCTGAATATCATCTTTGACAGTCATTTCAGAAGCGGAAGAATCTGGCCATAACTGATTAGTTAGTTTATCTGAGGTGTCTGTTTCAGTCTAAATGTTTAAAAAAAGTCAAAAGTTTTTCAGGTTTTAAAAAAAGTCTAAGTAGTTGTTTTGAAATAATGTCATATTTACAAAGAAATTGCAAAAACAGTACAAGTATTAATAATTTTTATATACCTTTTACCATGGTCCCCAAATATAACCACAGTAAAATTATCAAAAGCAGGACATTAACTTGGACACAATATTATTTACTAAACTTCAGGCTTTATACAAAATTTCTAATTTTCCTCTAAAGTCCTTTTCTGGCTCAGGATCCACTCTGTGATTCCACATTGTATTTAGCTGGCACATCTCACTCGTTTTCTGCAACCTAGGACAATTCTTCAGTCTCTGTCCTTCAAACTCATGAGATTTTTGAGTACTAACCAATTATTTTGTAGGATGTCCCTCAGTTTGGGTTTTTCTGACATTACTTCATTATTAGCTTAAGGTTATGCTTTTTTGGGGTTTTTTTTTTTTTTTTTTTTTGGCATGAATCTACAGAAATGATGTGCATGCCTTTCAGGGGAGACATGATATCAAAGTCTCATCATTGGTGATGATCCATTGATGGAGGTAATGTCTCCAAGCACCTCCACTGCAAAGTTACTATTTTTCCACTTATAATTAATAAGTATTTTATAAGGAGACACTTTAAGACTATGCAAATATCCTATTTTTCATTATACTTTTACCCACAGATATATATTTTATTCAATAGGTACAATTTTTAAGACTCATAGTGGACTTTGGCAAATTGTTTCCAGAAAGTTTGTGCAAATGTATACTCTCATGAGTTTGTCCAACTCTCTTCACCTCCACTGGCACATGACTGTCTTTAAATGATGTTTGTCTTTCATGGAGAAAAGGGTATCTAGACATTGCTTTCACTTGCATTTCTTCTACTGCCACCAGAGCGGAACCTCTTAAACAACTTCACTGCTCACTAGTTTCACATCTTCCCAAATTTGTCTGTTTATGTGACTGCACATTTTCCCTCTACCATCTAAATGTCTTCCTTATCTATTTTTATGAGTTATTTATTGAGGGGTCACAAAGATTTATTTTTTAAATACTTACTCTACTAGACTTGCTCATTTATGTATTTACCCAAACTCTGAGCTCTCATACAATGTTTAAAAAATATCCTGTACCAAGATTCATTCTACTCATTGGGGAGGAGGAGATATGTGTATCTCAGTATCTCATTCCCATGTGGGGTGACAAGACACTGAGGCTTTGGCTCAGTCTTCCAACTGAGAGAGTCTTCGCTTCAGAGGGAAACTGCTCCAGTTGTGAATGTTCCTGTTTTCACTTGCTATCATCATTTCCCAGAAGCCATTGCTTCCACCCCAGGCAGAAGAGAGAATAGCTAAGGATGCTTACTCTGTTAGCTTCTCTCCATATTCGGGGGTACTAATGAGACTTTAAAGGATTTTAGTGACTCATTAGAATGGCTTTCATATTTTTAACTTGGCCTCCCTTTTTTGAAGTTTATGATACCCATTTGTGCTTCCTTCCCCACTGGTGAGTTTTTATTACTAGGAATAAAAGTAATATACAGATACACAGATACAATTTTCACAGCTTGCTACTGCACTCAGTTTTGACATACTATCTCACACTGCAGGCACACAGAAACTAGGCACATGTACCTGTCAGCACAATATGCTTACAGACATCTCTAAAAAGATAAGGACCACATAAACGTCACAATAAAATTTCTTTCTAAAGGTGGAATACTTAAGACATTATCTTCAGGAAAACAAGAACTATAATATTACACCAACTCTTATACTATCTCCATAATTTCTACACCTGAAAAGATTCTAGCTAGGAACCTTCTAAGTTAGCTACTGAATATTGCCTATTAAGTATCTTGGAATTAGAGTATGGCTTTAACCACAACTTGAGGTAATCATCTCTGCTGAGTATCAGACACAGAAAGGCCTCTGTGTTTTATTTATTATGCTTATAAAACATTAAGTGTAGATGTAGGCCCCTGACTGCCAGTCAGATAGTCTGGTTTTCCTAAGGTTTTTACCATATTCTATCTTAATGTCCCAGTTTTCAACTGGACTGATCAGCACAGTATCTGATCCAGTCCCAATCACTACTTAGTGCTATGAATGAGCAGACTCCGAATTTTCATGACGTATTATCCTGGAAGACCATAAAACAGCAATGATTTTAATAATTATGATTTGAAAGCGAAATAATCTCTGTAATAATACTAATATGTTCTATATCAGAGAGATATAAACAAACATAAAATATGTATTACAGGGTATGTATAAAGCAATAACTATATCCATACCTTTGTATGTTCATAAAAGAAACATGCCAAGTAAGACTACATTCATATTTTTGCTTCTTAACACTTAGGGAAGCTTTAGGGAAGGATTTTGATGGCCTAGTTCTCTTTAATAAGATGTCCAGGTAAGTTTAAATTGATGTGTTTTTTTGCTCAACATCCCTGTAGCAAGCTGAGAAGTTTGATAGTATTTCACTAACCACAGGATTTAATGCCAGGTATAATCATTCTTTCTGGAAATTGGTAAGACTCTATATGCTTTTGGCCTCAATTAAAGATTCAGAAAAAACTGAGCTTATACAATATGGACTTCTATTCACATGCACTACTCACTCTAGTCACACTAGCTTATGTGCTACGTTCTTTTATTTACTACTCCTCAAGGCTGAATGAAATGACCCTTCCCACCTGGCTCTCCTAGATTTATCCTTCAAGACAGACATCAGTTGCTGCCTCCTCAAAGACTTCCTTAACTGCTGACTTATCATTCACCACCACCCCCAAGCCTAGTCGGATACTTTGTAACTAGTATCACTCTTACTACCGAAAGGTACAGGCATCATCCTATTACAGACCTGTACTGCTCAAAATGGTAGCCATTAACCAACGCAAGGTTATGGACATTTGAAATGTGGCTTGCCCAAACTGAAATGCGCTGTTAGGTAAAAAATACACACCAGATTTCAAGGACTTAGCACAGACACAAAAACTTTAAACCATCTTTTCATAATTTTATACTGATTATACATTGAGAATAATTTGCATATATTAGGTTAAATAAAATATATTATTAAAATTAGTATCATTATTACTTTTACCTTAATGGAAATACTACATTTTAAGTTACATATGTGACTCCATTGTATTTCTTTTGGATAGTGTTGTTCTAGATTCTAAGTTCCTTTAAGGAATAGCCATTGTTTCTTTTTTTTTTTTTTTCAATTTATTGGGCTGACATTGGGTAATAAAATTACATAGGTTTCAGGTGTACAATTCTAAAACACATCATCTGTACACTGTATTGTGTGTTCACCACCCAAAGTGAAGTCTCCTTCCATCACCATTTATCCCCCACTTTCCCCTCATCTACCTTCCCCCAACCTCCTTTCCCTCTTGTAATCACCATATTGTCGTCTACCTATGAGGTTTGGGGGGGGGGGGGGGTTTTGCTTAATTCCTTCACCTTTTTCACCCAACCTCCAACCCCCTTCCTCTCTGACAGCAGTCAGTCTGTTCTCTATGTCTATGACTGTATCTATTTTGTTAGTTTCTTTTGTTCATTAGATTCCACATATGAGTGAAATCATATGGTACCTGTCTTTCTCTGACTGGCTAATATCACTTAGCATGATACTCTCCAGGTCCATCCATGCTGTTGCAAAAGGTAAGATTTCCTTCTTTTTCATGGCTGAGTAATGTTCCATTGTGTAAATGTACCACTGCTTTTATATCCACTCATCTACTGATGGACACTTGGGCTGTTTCCATATCTTGCTATTTATTATAAATAATGCTGCAATGAACATAGGGATGCCCATTGTTTCTTTTATCACTGAATCCCACCAGACATTACACAAGGTAGCTTAAAAAAAGTTTAAAGTGAATGATTTGATCTCCCTCCAACCCTAAACCCTGCTTTGTGACTTTAAACACTAGATAGAGAACTCTGTTAGAAAAGATGTGGAGAATAAGTGACAAAGGCAAGGCTTGAAGGTGTCCATGGGCTAATTAGATGACTATAAACTTGTTTATTTAAAAAAAACCTCCTATTGGTTAAATTACTACATCGTCTCCTGTTCCCCCATCTAGGAAGTAGATCAATATGTATATTAATTCACAAGTATTTACTGAGAAAATATGTAGTAAATAATCAACACAATACTCACAAGAATCTCCTACATAGTAAATAGAAACAGAAGAGACAAGTAGCAAGAGCTGGGGTGACACTTTAAGAAAAACCAAAGGCAGACTGCTGGGAAACCATGACAGCAAAGGAGGAACTGGACAAAAAAAGTATTCAAAGATGAGACAGCGCCCTTCGATTTATTGGTCAACTAGGCTACAGCCGCAAAGGAAAGGGCTAAAACAAAGCAGCAACATAATGCACTGCTACACATGTGAAAGTGTATCTGTATGACAAGTGCCATCAGTGATTTCAAAATAGAGCAAAGAAAGCACCAAGACACCCAAGCTCAGGTTCAGACTCCAAAGTGGGGTCCTATTCTCCTAAGTCTTAGGATACTCTCCCCCAAATGCTTAAACTAATCAACTCTGATCTAAAACAAATTGAGACACAAACTTTCACTTCCGTCCATTTTAAGAATCACATGGAAACTGTTAGAACAGCTTGAATTAAAGAGCATAGATGTGCTGGTGAGAAGCGGGTATTTCTCATTTGGTTGTTAATACTGAAATCAATGTTGTGTTCATCAAATCTAGTTACTGAGAAGAGGGAACCAGACTGGGCAGGCCTTTAGCAGTAAGAACACACTATTATTTTTAGAAAGTAAGTGACATAATTAAAATTCCATAATAATAAGGCACCATAGAAAATCCTGCAAACTTTGTTTTAAAAGGATTAATTTAAAAAACACAGTTCCTAATTTAAAGCATCAGGAGATAAAAGAGTAGTAACATAGGAAGTAAAAAATTATTTCCGTCCAGGAGGAAAAGAAATACACTATCTACATTAATTTTCCTCCTTCCCATTCCTCTTAGTTGCTAAGTCTTTTTGCATTATTTTCTGTTGGGAGTACAGACAGGTTCGAATCTGTGAAATATAAAAGGGTGAAAAAGGCAGCTATCAAAGGAGCGCCACCTTAAAATGCTCTGTGCTAGGACAATCTTGGGAAAATAACTTTCACCTACTTATTATTCAAGTGTTATAATTTCAGTTTGCCTCAAGATTGACTCTGTACCTCAGAAGGGTCACAAACTGCTCCAGCTTCATTTTTCCCATCTATAGAGTAGAGAGAGCAACTGAAGGATATCAAGGTGGATCAATGATTCTGACATAACCTCATTCTGTGCCTCTCCCCACTATAACACCACCACTATATAATTAATTTCCTTATATGGGATGACTTTCATTACAGAAATGGGCCAGAGAAATCTCATGGACAACATGTTAAAAAAAAGAATTTAGCTAGATGTTAGGGTACCATTGATATAAGCCATTTTGAGGAAATGCAGATACTTTGTTACACGGGATGAATGATTCCTTGGATTTGTGATAAAACAAATTTTACTTAATTGGCAACTTATTTACTAGGTGCCAGGAGTAACCAGGAAATAAATTCCTTTAAATGGCATTTCCTTCTTTAAATTTAACTTCTAAAATAGTCAAATGAACCCCTGAAAAACAAAAGTTTAATTTAAATGTGAAAATTGTAAGCATTTTCTTTAGTAAGCCTCTAAAAATGGTGTTTTAGCACTATAAACTCTACAAACCTCAACCTCGATGCTTTTTACATCCTTCTCCACCTGCTGCAGATCTTCAAGTCTCTTATGACAGCCTTTGAGATCATTCTGTAACTGAGACACCAGGTGACGCTTCACTGAGTTGCTAGCCAGCAATTGCTGCACTTCTGCCTTCAGCTTCAGGATCATCTCATCTTTGGAAAGTTCTTCATTTGGGCCTTCTTGAACAGTGCTAAGGGGGAAATTATGATATTAAAAATTAAATCAAGTTACAAATCAAGCATGGCTTATTCCTTAAAAGCTACTAACTGCAATGAAAAAACCCACAGCTAATACTCATGCTTAATGGACAATGACTGAATACTTCCCCCTAAGATCAGCAGCAAGAAGGCAATGTCTGCTCTTGCCACTTCTATTCAATGTTGTACTAGAGGTTTTAGCTGGAGCAGTTAGTCAAGGAAAAGAAATAAAAGGGCCCAGACCCGGTGGCTCAGTTGGTTGGAGCATCATCTTGTACACCAAAAAAGGTTACGGGTTCAATCTCCAGTTGGGGTGCGTACAGGAGACAACCGATCAATGGTGTCCAACCCGTGGCCTACAGGCCACGTGCAACCCAGGCTGGCTAGGAATGCAGCCCAACACAAAATCATAAATTTACTTAAAAAATTATTAGATTTTTTTGTGATTACATATTGCAATGTATTTAATGTGTTGTCCAAGACAACTTTTCTTTTTCCAGTGTGGTAAAAGAAAACCAAAGACACCAAAAGGTTGGACACCCCTGTTCAGTTTCTTTCTCCTCTCTTCGCCTCTCCTCTCCTTCCCTCTCCTCTTCTTTTCTCTCTCTCTCCCTCCCTCTCTCATACCAATAAACATATCCTCAGGTGAGGATTTTTAAAAAATGAAAAAGAAATAAAATGCATCCATATTGGAAAGAGAGAAGTACAAATATCTATTTTCAGATGACGTGATATTGAATATAAAAAGTCCTAAGAAGTCCTCTAAAAAACTTTTTGAACAAATAAGTTCAGCTCAGCAGTGTGATAGGATTCAAGATCAATATACAACATCAACTGTATTTCTATATACTAGTAATGAACCACCTGAAAACAGAATTAAGAAAACAATCCAGCAAAGAGAATACCTAGGAATAAATTTAACAAAAGAAGTATATGACTAGGACACTGAAAACCACAAAACTTCAAAAGTAGATGACTAGTACACTAACAGAAATTAAAGATCTAAATAAATGGAAAGATATCCATGTTCAGAGATCTGAAGACAATATTGTTAAGATGGCAATACTCCCAAATTTGATCTACAGGTTCAGTGCAACCCCTATCAAAATCCCAGCCTGTTTCTTTGTAGAAATTGACAAACTGATCCAAAAATTCATACAGAAATGCAAGAGACAGGGAACAGCCAAAACAATCTCTATAAAGAACAAACCTGAAAAACTCACACTTCCGAATTTCAAACCTACTACAATGTACAACAATCAAGTGAGTGTGGTACTGGCCTAAGGACAGGCATATAGATCAATTGGAAATATTGATCTCAGTAAGAGCCCAGAAATAAACCTTACATTTATAGTCAACTTATTTTCAACAAGAGTGCCAAAACAATTTAATGGGGAATGTTCTTTTCAACAAGTGATACTGGGACAACGGGATATCTACTACAAGCAAAAGAATGAAGTTAGGTCCCTATTTCACATCATGTGCAAAGATTAACACAAAATGGATCCAAGACCTAATGTAAAAGATAAAACCCTTAGAAGAAACCATGGGTATAAATCTTTAGGACCTTGGATTAGGGAATGATTTCTTAAATGCCAAAAGCATAAGAAATCTAAGAAAAAAGGTAAGTTGGACTTTCTAAAATTAATGTTTTGGTGCTTCAAAGGATGCTATCAAGAAAGCAAAAAGGCAACCAACAGGAGAAAATATTTACAAATCATTTATCTGACAAGGGACTTGTACTCAGAATACTCTTAAAACTAAACAATGAAAAAACAATCCATTTTTTTTAATCCTCACCTGAGGAGTTTTTTAAAATTGACTTTAGAGAAAGAGGAAGGGGGAGAGAAAGACATTGACATGAGAGAGAAATATCGATCGGTTGCCTCCTATATGTGCCCCAACTGGGAATCAAACCCGCAACCTTGGTATGTGCCCAGACCAGAAACCAAACCCACAACTTTTTGGTGTATAGGACCCTTGAAACAACTCAGCCACCCAGCCAGGGCAAAAACAATCCAATTTTAAAATGGAATAAAGACTTGAATAGACATCTCTCCAAAGAAGATATACAAATGGCCAACTGACACATGAAAAGATGTGCAACATCATTAACCATTAAATCCAAACCTCAATAAGAAAACCATCCCATACCCGTTAGGAACACTATCATGAAAAAAATGAGAAACTAACAAGTGTAGACAAGAATAAGGAGAAATGGGAACCCTCATACACTGCTGGTGGGAATGCAAAATGGGGCAGCCACTTTAGAAAACAGCTGGACCGCTTCTCAAAATGCTAAACACAGAGCTACCACATGACCCAGCAATTCCAATCCTAAGTATATATCTAAAAAAAAATAAAAACATATGTTGACACAAAAAAATTGTACACAAATGTTCATTGCAGCATTATTCATAATAGCCAAAAGGTAGAAACAATCCAAATAAATGTCTATCAGCTGATAAATAGATAGGCAAAATGTGGTACATTCATACAATGAAATGCTATTTGGCTATAAAATGAAATGAAGAGCTGAAACAAGATGCTACATGAAATAAGCCAATCACAAAAGAGTACATATTATATCATTCCACTACCTGAAGTGAACAGACAAATCTATAGAAACAGAAAGTAGATTAGTGGTTGCCTAGAAGGCAAGAAAGGGCACTGGGGAATGACTGTAACGGGCACAGGACTTTTTTAGGATATAGAAATTGTCTAAAATTTGGTTGTTGTACAACTCCGTGACCATACTAAAAACCACTTAATGTATGAATAAAATAAAATAACAACTAAAACCACTGAACTGTACACTTCAAATGGGTAAATTTTATGATTTGTAGGAAAAAAAACAAGCACAAACACCTAAAGTATAAGTGACGTTCATATGATGTCAAACCTAATCTGTAGTGTTTAGGTATGAATAATTAAGTCTCAAAAGGATAAAAAAAAAGAAAAAAGAAAGAAAGAAAATGATTGCCATAACAGCTAAGATAGCAGTTGCCCTCAAGGCTATAACTGGAAAAAGACATACGGGCAGTTTCTTGACCTGGGCAGTGACTCCGTGGGCATTCACTGTAAAATCATTCATTCACTGTATGCTTTGTGTACTTTTACGTGTTACATTTCACAATTTTGAAAGGTTTAAAAAGTAAAAGTTAAAGGTACTAGAAAACACCATCAAGAAGTAAGGTGCAAGAGTGGTGGATCTAACTGCATAAAAATTTTAAACAGGAAAAGCGCTAACTCTCAACACTGGCAAGGTACATAGAAACAGGTACTGACAGGTACCTGTGGGTAATAATGCAAACTCTGGCCTGTTTGGCAGCATGTGTCAGGCACCTATCATAATGTGCATACCTGTTAGCAAGAATATGCATCCACATCTTAAGAAAATAATCCAAAGATATGAATAAAGATGTGACTGCAATGATGCTTGCAATAACAATACTGCATTATTTATCATTTAAAGAATTTTTAACAGTATATTACTAAAATATATTATATTCATCCACATACCCATTAGTAAATATATATAACAATATTTACTGGCATCTAAAGATTTCAGAATGTATTAAGGCTCATTATAAAACAGTATACTCTATATTATTTTATCTCTTAGAAACATCAAAACAGATGTGAAAAATATATACCAAAATGTTAATAAGTGGTTTTCTTCATGGGAGGTAAAGTAAGATTGTGGGTGCTTTTAATTTTCTTGTTTTCTTAACTTGTATTTTCTGTTTACCATAATAAAGGAGAAAGTTTTGGAAAAAAAATAAATATTGACAGTATGTACCCTTAATGTTATGAAAATAGAACCTCATCCCTGTGGTCTTCCTCCACAAAACCCATGAGAAAAACATAATTGTGAGATAAACATCAAATTCCAGGGGCTTCCTACAAATAGTTGACCAGTATGTCTCAAAACTGTTAAGGTCGTCAAAAATAAGGAAATTCAGGAGGAACCTAGGGAAATATGACTCCTAAATATAATGTGGTATGCTGGATGTGATCCTGGAACAGGAAAAAAGACATCAATTAAAAACCAAGACCATCTAAATCAATGATGGATATATTAATGATAATGTATCAATATTAGTTCATAAATTGTAATGAATGAACATACTGAGCTGATGTAGGATGTTAATAGGGGGAAATGGGTGCAGGCTACATGGGAACTCTTTGTACTATATTAATTTCTCTGTAAATCTAAAACTGCTAAAAAAGTAATATCTATTTCTTTAAAAAGAAATAAATAGCACCTGATTTAAAATTTTTACTGTTTTCAGATTCAGATGATTCCAAATGAAACATTAGACTATACATGGTCTGTCCGGAAAAAGTCCAGCCATCGTTAATATAACAAAGAACAGTTTGTGCGACATTGACGTAACCTGGCAACCAAGAAGAGTGGACTGGAATGCACATGCAAACAACGATGACTTCACTGTACTAGTCAGTGGGGATGGTAGACACCACTGAGTGAGCCATGTGTACTGCATGGCTGTCGCATTCAAAATGACTGAGCAGGTAGAGCAATGATTCTGCATCAAATTTTGTGTTAAGCTTGAACATTCCTCTGCAGAAACTATTCGGATGATTCAGAAGGCCTTCAGGGAGGATGTGATGAGTACAGCAAAAATAAAAGTGTGGCATAAATGCTTCAAAGATACTTAAGAACTTGTTGAAAAGTGATCCATGCTCTGGAAGGCCTACAACAAGCAGAACACCTGAGAACGTTGAATGTTTACGGGCTGCGATCAACAAAGATCAGCAACTGACAGTGCAGGAACCAGAAGCCGATCTGGGAATTCCAAACACTACTGCGTCCGAGATTTTGATGCAGGATCTTGGCATGAAATGTGTTGTGGCAAAATTCGTCCCATGGCTTCTGCTACCAGAGCAGAAGGAACACCATACTACAATTGCTAATGATTTGATTCAAATCACTGCCAATGAACCAGATTTCCTCAAGAAGGTCGTAACTTTGAAGGGGACTGAGGTGTCATTGTCCTATGTACAATGCTTCTTGTATCTTGTATCTTCTTTAATAAATGTCTCTATTTCTTATTACATAGCTGGATACTTTCTGGACAGACCTCGTATATATACTGTGTACACACACACACACACATACAGAGAGAATAAAGAATACATGATGACAGTTTTGACATTATAAAAGGAGCTCCTTCCAATATGCTATATATTTATCAATATACAATTTTGTACCTGTAATATACATAGTATAAATGTACATCTAGATCTCGCCTATTTATGTATATATGAGAAACAGATGGGGGAAATTGGGACAAGTGTAATGGAACAACAGTAAAAAAAGGAGAAAAAAAGAAATAGAAATACACTTAAAGAAATATAAACTCTATTACAATGCATCTTCCCATGCTGTGAGACATGGTGAACTAACTTGAAGCAGAACACTCATTTTGCCCAGTTAACAAATTATGCACTCCTCATTTCTTTCCTTGCTGAATGCTGACCACTGGAATAGCACATCAAGTACTCCTAGAGGGAGCCAAGTCAGAGAGCAGAAAAAGTGCTTGCTAAAATAATTTTCTCTTCTTTCTCAAAAGGGAAAAAGTCAGTGGTGGTGACCAGTCCTGCATAAGGCTCACTACTGAGCCCTGTGGAAGTTGGTTCCCCTGAATCCAAATAAACTGTAGTCCCTTATGAAGCCTGCTGAGAAGACCAAAGGCAAAAGGCATTCCACTTGTTAAATGTTTATTATTTGAGCTTCGCAGCCAACTATAATAAGGAAGAGGGGAAGCTGTCTGCAAGCTGCATGCAGATTTAGTTACTCAAATTCCACGAATGTGAAATAGAACACTGAGGCTAAACCCTTCAGATTTACTAGGCGGTAGCTTGAGGGAGGTAGGAGTTGGGAATAAAATCTTGGAGCTGCTAATAATTGGGTCAGTCATTTGAAAGCAGCTCAAGTCAACAAAGAACTAAAATTCTCGACACTGGGAAAACTGCTGCTTCCTCTTGTTCTAGGAATCACAGTCCAGCAGAGGAAAGCTACAAATCTCTCTCTTGTATCTCCTCTTACTTTGAGCCAAGAATAAATATTTTTACTTTTTCCTCAAAACTGAATTCTTATCTATTAAACCTTTCTTCACACACCCTGTCTTTCATTGAATTCCCTCTCTCTGAGCCTCAGTGACTGCCCACTATGTTTTAGTTACTCTCCACTTTCCCAGCTGAACACGGCTGGCACTCCTTTCACTGCAATAGTGATGTGATGTCTCAGGTTTATTGTCTATGGGAATGGCCTTTAAGTTACTGTAGGATTTTGACTATAAGGACTAATTAAAGAGAAAGGGCAAAAGCAGAATACATTTTAGTAAACATTGTGATGAAGCCAGTCTACTTGAAAAGATAAATATACATATATTACTATTATCTACCCAATTCTCAAGCTAATTATGACACAAATTAAAATAAAGTTATAGCATATTAGAAAGAATCATTTCTGGCAAAGAACTCAAATAAAAGACATAAAGAATGAAGTTTCAAAGCCAAAAGGTTTGACTGTCGTGTGAATATGAAGCAACAGGTTTACATGACAGTCAAGTTTTGGATTCAAGTACTGGCTCTGCTGATAATGGTCTGTCTTCTTGAGCAAAAGAGCTTAACTCTCTTGAGCTCTGATTTTTCCAATTCTAATGTGGTAATAATGGAGCTGATGTTTTTGTCAAGGTTGAGATGAGGATTAAGAACTTTTTATAAAGTGTGTGTGGAATTGAGAGTGGATTAATATAAAATCTGATCACTGGTGTATTTTAACAAATCATCTATTAAATAATAATAGTGATAGCTACCATCTACTGGAACATATTACATAAGGCCCTTGCTATTCATTATCCATTTTAATCCTAACTTTAAGACCCAAGCAACTATAATCAACTTAATAAAAAAGCCTGATAAGAAAACAGGCTCAGAAGTCAACAAACCTGCCCAATGTCATAAAGCTACTAATAAATGGCAAAACTGTGATTCAAAACAAAATCTGGATCTAAAGACCAGATAGTGCTCTTTCCATTAGCCTCTTAGAAATAATCTGGCAATAACAAGAAATGAGGTATTCACAGCACCCAATTTTCCAGATGGCATTTTTAACTTTAAAATTTTATATAAACCTATCTAAAAAAGTCATGTAACATGTACATCCTCTTTCACTTCAATTAACTAACCAAGCTGAAAGCTCTCTTGGACAACTTGGGATGGTGAGTGTGGATTCTGACGTGGATCGGCAGCTCCGGCCCGAAGGGTTCCTCTCGTCCTCTCCTTGTAAAGGCTGAGCAGTCTGGCTAAGCCAGGGCAGCACCTCCCGCAGCACCCGGCCCCAGCTACTCGTCCATTAGTCAGGGAGCCAGATAACTTGTGCAGTGCCAACAAATCCAAGGCAGCATGGCCTGAGGGTGGCTCCTACTAAATACACCACACGGTTTAGTTCTGCTGTTTTCTTCTTTGCTTTCTTCTGGATTGCAGTGTGGTCTTCGGAGATGACGGTCCCTAAAGATCGACCTCCAGATACCTGGAGCCTTATTAAACTAACATCTTGCTTCACAGTATCACTCAATAACTTTTCAATTTACTGAAACTCATCCTACAGTTCTGAAAATGGAATCCAGTAGTAAAATACATAAGTTCTAAAACACTGTAGAGTAAACACTTCAGGAGATTTCTATACTTGTATTTAGCTGCATGATGCCTGAGACACAATAGGTAATAAACATTCTCACTAAACAATAACGATGGTAAATTCAGTCTTGAACTAGAAACCAGATGGTGCTGGTGTGGGTCAAATGCATTCAAGAACGGTTTTCCTTAGTCTGAATGCACTCTGCCAAACAGCCACATCTCATTTTATCCAAGACCCATAGAGGAAAGGATAAACACCCTTTTGTACACCAAGCATAACGTGGAACATATAGCACTTAGCTGTTTACAGGTGTATCTTCCTCTCCCCAACAAGACAAAATGGAAACTACCTTAGGGAAAGGAGTGTTTCCATCTCACCTTTGGTACTCTACTCCCAGAGCTTTACATCACATCTTCCAAAAAGCAAGTGCTTCAAAAATGTACATCCTCTCCTCCATTCATCTTTTAAGTGTTTAGTGATTCCTAAATATATTCTCTCCTCTACCACGACCACTTCCTCCCCCATCAGTCCCTGGGAGGACGAGACTTTAATCCCTTCCATAAGATTGCTAAAATATCTGTGTTAAGCAGTGATACAAAAGCCAAAAAAACCCTAGTTTTTTAAATATGTCATTTGTTTTTAGAGAGAGGGGAAGGGAGGGAGGGAGAGAGAGGGAAACATTGATGTGTGAGAAAAAGACTGACTGGTTGCCTCTCACATGGCTCAACCTGGACCTGACCCACAACCCAGGATGTGCCCTGGGAATCGAACCTGCGACCCTGTCTTGTGGGATGACACCCAACCCACTGAGCCACACCAGTCAGGGCCAAAACCTCTATTTTAAAAGCAAGGCCACAGTAAGGCTTCTAGGGAATATTAATGCTTATTTTTTCATATGCCACTGGTAAATGCCAGGTACCTGCTTTCAACACAGAATGTTAATAAAAAAAAAAATTTTTCATTTTGCCTTAATAGTAAAACAGAAACATGATCGCCATTATAGAAGTTACTTTGTATATTTTAGCTAAATTAATCCTTTTTAGCTTACTAAAACTGATGTGCCTATTGCTGTTGAAGAAAGTACAATATCAGTTCTTGAGGTTTCTGTTCATTTCAATCTCAGACATTTACACTTCATTAGGTGTTGCTGAAACACACTACCCGCATCAAGAACCCCCTGTCGGCTCATCTCATGCCTGGTGCCACTTGTTTACCAAGCATCACAAGTTTTATTAATGTAGGCTCTTGTACAGTAAACTATTTTCTCGATACCTCTGAACTTTGTATTTTTTCCAGTTGACTTTTTTAATACCCAAATCCACGTATGATTCAGTGAGTTCTGTATTTAATTCTCCTTCTGAGTCACTTGGAAATATTCCTAGTTTTGCGGCAGATTCATAGAGAGAAATTTCATCTTTTAGTTCTGTTAATTCTTCCTAAAACACAAAATTATTGAAAGTTATTTTCATTATTTTCCTACAAAAAGGAATCATTCAATCTATGCCTCAAATTCACTGTAATGGTCAAGAGAAGGAAGAAATGCTTCTTTGAATACATTTTAGCACACGTTAAAAAGTTTTGCAAAGGCCAGCACGTATCAGGTTTTCCAGTAAATGGAATGAACTAATGAATAAATGACTGAGAAAGCAAATGCAAGTATTTTCTCTCGCACCTCACTCACATTTTCTCCTCCCTGAAAAGTGTCCCTTGAGCTGAGAAACTGGTGGCAGCACTTTTTGGCTCTGTAGAAGACAGAGTAGACTGGTTTCCCAACATGCTGCACTTTACAGTCCGCCAGAGGTAAAAAAGCAAAATCCCTCTTTCCAGTGGCAGCAACAATGGACCTCTTCCTCCAGCATTTTCCTTTTCTTCCTGCAGAAAATCTAAGTAGCACTGGAGAAGGATGCGCTAGAGCTGCAACCACACTGTGGGTCTCCCACTCATGTGCACAGCCTCCTCTCTGGGACACACCCACAGACAGACCTGGGCTTGACTACGCACCTGTGTGGGCAAGATTGTGAACAACCCTTACGGGATGCTTTGGAGATGGTCCAACCACCTTTTTTAAGAGAAACCCAAGGTTCATAAAGGTGATGTAATTCAGTTACCTGAAGTCTCCTCCAGGGGGCAACACTCACCTGCAAAGCCTTGTTCATGTTTTCACTCAGAGCATGAGCCTTTTGTGCTTGCTGCAGCTGGAGCCGCAGCTGAGCCACCTCCTGTACTGAGCCTACGAGGGAAAGAGACACAGAATACACCAAGTGTAAATGGCCAAAGCACCCATAATGGTCAGGAGACATGAATCCCCTGAGGCAACGGAAGGTGGAATTTTGCTTTGTTTCCTTTTTATTATCTTCTCAGGGGCACAAAGGAATGGCCAGTGGGACCCAGAAGGCATAGGTCTAACCCACACATTTCCAAGATTTAATATGGCTCCCCATATGTCCTTGAGAAGTGGAAGACGTGGGCTACAGTGACCTTCTATGAATCAAATCTACAGACCCAAACACCCCAGAAGTCCTTTAATAGGAGCGTAACACTCCAACTCATAGAAAGCCAAAGCAAAAATGCTTCGGAACCCATTTCCACCCTCTAATAAGAAAACTACATCTTGTTGTCCTTAGCTTCCTTCTAAGCGCTCTTGTTTTCCACCCCTGATCTCCACATGAGAAAGAAGCCTATTAGGATTATGCTTCTGAAACTTTAGTACCCTAATATTTTAAATGTACCAAGGGAAGTTCTCATTTAATTTTTTTCTTTTGTTTATTTCTTTTATCCTTTTTTGGGGGGAGGGGTAGGTTCCCACTTAAAAGGGACTTTATTGGGTTTCCTCAAAAGAAAATGAGCATCTGGGAAATGGTTAAGCCAAGTAATGATGGTGTATTATGCAACTAAAGAAAATCATATTTCCAAAGCCTTTAATGGCAAAGAAAAAGGCTGGGAAGTAATGACATGGGAAACAAAGGAATGCAAAACTAAACATGGAGGGGAGACCGAAATAGAGCATGGTCCAAATTTTGCCCCCACCAAAACATACACAAACACATACTTAAGACAGTCTTTGATGTTTGTACTTTCCACTTTTGAATAACCCACTCTGTACACATTGCACCAATAATCAGAATTGACTTAATAGGTCAAAGTGTGACTTTCATAATCAGTTAATAAAAAACCACTGAGCTATTTTCACACCACTCACCAGTAAGCAGTGCTGTTTTCTTTCTGTACGGTAGTGCTCGTATATGCATCTGATTATTTTATGGTCTTTTATTCTAATATCATTTTATAAAAATGAACAGGAAATAAAAGTACTGCTGAAACTAATGATAAGAAACATTCTCAAACTTAATACCGTGGAGACCATAGGAGAAACCTTAAGCGTGACAAAAAATGTAACTCACTGGCTTCAATTGACCAAGTGAGTCACTATTGAATCGTGAGAGGGGGAAAAAATAATGAAGGAAGTTACACAAAACGATAGAGCTGTATGATCAAAGACCAATTCTAAAAAGCAAACTATAACAGGATTTCATATCATTTTTAGCTTTCAGAGATAAAATCCACCTTATAAGATGTACTTTATTATTCAGTTTTTGAACACTCAGCTTTTGTATGTTTTCAAAAGCAGGGAACTGTCTGTGCACATGCATTCATTTCACTTGAAGCAAGTACGGTCAAATGTTAACAACAGTTACCTCTGTACAGCAGACTTATTATTTTTATTTTTTAAAGGTTTTTTTTAAATCCTCACCCAAGGATATGTTTATTGATTTGAGAGAGAGAGAGAGAGAAGCATCAATCAGTTGGCTTTTGTACACACCTGACTGGGGATCAATGCCGCAAGCTGGGTACGTGCTCTGACAGAAAACTGAACCCACAGAGTTTTCTGGTGTGTGGAACGATGCTCCGACCCGCTGAGCCACCCCGCCAGGGCACGTAGAATTATCAGTTATTTTTATTTTCTACTTTACAGTTGTTTAAGTTTTCCAAATTATCTAATGAATATGCACTACACCTTACACATACATGTGTAACAATGTTGAAAAAAAAAAAGTCACCAATGATCTTTGCTCTCTTTTCTTGATTTTTATAATTCAAGGATCCTATTATGTTCTCTCTATACAGTATCTCGGCCTTCCTGGGGATGCAGTTGCGCACCCAGGCACCCACCTGATTGCAACAAGCTGGCGCACTGCTTTTGACTCTCCTCTAGACTTCTTGTCAATCTGTTAATGATCTCAGTCTTTTCTAATTTGGTTGTTTCTTGATTTCTTTCCAGTTGTTTCACCTTATCTTTCAAATGACAGCAAATGTCTTCCTAAACAGAAAAACGTTCAAGAAGTTATTTTCATGACCAGTTATTAAATGTTAAACTAACAATAATCATACACAATTGGGTTTTAAATCAAATATAAAATCATCGCATGGCAACATCGCCTCTTCTACGTGGATAAGTGCACAAGACTGGGAGTCAGGCAAATAAAGTCATGTGATCTTGGATAGGTCATCAACCTCTCGGTCTGTTTTTTTCTTTTGTAAATTACACTAATAAAGGTTGAATATCATGATTTCTAAAGTTGCTTTCTGTGATATGTTTACAAGACACTGCTGATCTAACATCAGATCTTATTCAAGCCAAAGAAAATGTATTACATTCCTATTTGCATTTTACAATGTTGGTATAAGTGTACGTATACATATTCAGGCAGACCACTCTGACTGCGAACCATGGAGTCTGTATGCCAGAACAGCAAGGGTACAGATAAACACACGTGAACTCACTCTATTCTGGATATCCAAAAGCCCATTCTATTCTGAGAAGCCAAAAATAACCTCTCCCTCTTCTGAACATCTTTTAAACTTGATTTGTTTCTCTCATGTTTTCCTTTCTGCCTTTACATGTCTTATTTCTCTTAACAGTCTCCTTGCAGGTGCCTACGCAGTGCCTTACATATAGTGTGGGCTACAAAAAAAAAAAGAAAACTGAAAAATAAATATGTGGGTGTGCACGTGCATCCATGCATGCATGTGAATAACTGTATGGGGGTATAGAGAAAATATAGAACATGTAATAATGTACTCAAGTTTCTTCAAAAAGAAAATGTATTTGGGAAGTTGTGAGTCACGGGAGTGCTAAGCTCACATAGAAGAAATCATCACCTCTCACTCAAAAAAGGCTTCATGGGCTGAATTCCAGGCCAAAGGAGCACAAGAGAGGCAAAGGAGTAAATTAAGGTATTAATAATTGGTTAAAGTTACCTGAAGAAGCCTGAAGAAGCAAGTAGAAGAGGAATATCAAGAAAAGGCTTTAAAGCAGAAAGAAGGTATTTGGGGCCAGATCCATAGGATAACCTAAAGCCCAAAAATGCCTGGAGGATACCAACCCAAAGTGCACCTCATAAGGATATTGACAGTATCCGTAAGCAGAGGAAAGAGACTTCAAAGTCTGTTTTAGCTTAAAAATTTGTGAATTTTGTATTCTATTTCATAATGTAGCCATTCTTGCTTTAATTTTTTCTACCAAATTTTTGAACAACATGAAGCTGCTGGAAACTGGTCCATGTTTATTCAACACTGTAAACCTCTTGGCACACTGCTGCTGAGTCCCGGGCCAGCTTCAAACGCATGGTTCTAAAGAGCCAGAGTAACACAGCACACACAATGAACGGGCTAATATTGATGACAGCGTGAATGTGTGTGCAAGAAGGGGTGGGGAGACAACTAATGTTCCCGTGCTGGGGAGGCCATAAGAAATTTTACAAGAGACTGTAAACTGGTTTTTAAAAAAAGGTAGATATGAAATACATTGTAAACAAAAGGCAGACCGTGGCAATAATTTGACAATATGCAACAATCAATTAAACCATGCTTTTTCCTGTTGACAAGTTCAGGAAAACAGATTATACTCATAAAACTGCAATTTAAACACACACATATAAATAAAACAAAATGAATGGTTCCATCTTGTCCATGATTAGCTTGAGAAATAAGAACACTCAATTCAAGACAAATACAGTCAGACATCTTTTAAGACTGAACAAGACAAGTGTGGTAATAAAAAAAAAATAACTGCTGAATCCTTTGAAGCAGATAAAATTGAACAGGTTTCCAGGGCACACATGTACACAGAGGTCTATGGGGGTCCCTTAGCCAATACAATGTGTTTAAAGTTGAGCCTTTAAATATAACATTAAATGAAAGGTAGGAAATAGATCAGGTGAAGGTCATGACAGAGAAACCAAAGTCCATGGCTTTGCTGAAAGCTGAAGCTTTCAAGACCAGAACAAAAAAAACGTCAGGGAGATCATTAGAGATTTTCCCATGATACTTGCACAAATGGGAGGCGTGCAAGGCATTTCAATAACCAGAGAGCTTAAAACATGACACTTCCATGAATCAGAGACAGAAGGCAGTTTGGAGAATAGAGTGTAGGAGACAGTTTGATATTAGAGAGTCTGTCACCAGAGGAACACTATGAGCTCCAAGAAGCTCATTTGTTCTCATTTTCTCTGTCACACTACAGAACCTGAAATTCAGCCAAAGTAAAAAGAACTGTTATAATATATTGTGAGTTCCTACAACCCTTTCTACCCAGAAAAGCTGACAGCTGAAGGAAAACGCTAACTTCATAATTAATTTTATAAGCCATATGCTGCTCAAAATATACTAGACATTCAAAATTTTTTTAAAAAATGTATCATGGATTGCTAAATTAGGCAGTCCCCGTGTTGAATTCTGTCTGTCAAAATATAATGAAATATACATGAAGCCTGTTTATATCCTGATGTTTAGCTGTTGGTCAATAAAGGTTTGCTGAGCAGATGAAATAATGTAATTAATCTACAATTGTAGTCCTTTCCCATCAAGAATGTGTTTTTCATAAAGCAGTGATTTTCAACCTTCTGCAAGGGAAGGTAGGAGCTTCTTTAAAAGTCTGAATAAGCTCAAGTTGTCTCAAAAAGACTGAATATACTCACACTCCCCAAAAAATCAAATCCAGTTTCACAGGATTCATCTCTTCCCTGGAGCCTAGTCATGAGCTACCTTAGAAGATGCCAGGTTAAAAAACCTTTCTAACTAAAAAAACTTACTATGTGTGAACCTCTACTCTGTTAGCACTGTGTACATAAAATACATAGTACATGGGTACAAAGTCGTGTGTAAGTACACAAGAGTCACTTAGAACCTAGACATTGGAAAATGTATTCAAGTTCATCTACTCAATTATCCAGTTATTTTTACCTTGCTACTAATTTCCAAGACTCATTTTATTTCTCTTTGTAATCTGCTGAGTAGAGAGTAGTGGAAAAATATTTACCCAAAAAGGAAATAATTTACACCTTCCTCTTTAATAACTTTTATAAAGAAAAAGAGGGGTAAAATGTGGTATGTATATATGGTTACCAGTTACATAAGAAAATCTAACTCAACCCTCTCTGTGTAGAACACACTAATGCATTTTTCAGATTATAGGCAGACACCTCCCTAGCTCCTGGTTGATTTTCACAGCACCTCTAGAATCAGGAATCTCAATTTTGATTCTGATATATTATGAGTTGACCTTTCATTTAAAATACTACTGAGGCAAATGATAGCAAATGGACAGCACAAAAGAAACACCATAAGAAATACTTCCAGAAGGAAAAAACTAGAAGCACTTTGGAATCAGCACTTTGCAAAGAAGTTATGCAATTATACACAGAGGACTAATCAGTGCTATTCTGTTTGTTTGTTTTTTTTTTTAAAAAAACAGTCACAGAATGTAACAGTGGAAAAAGACCCTAATCAACACCTTCAATTTATGGTCGGAAGCCCAATCAGCACAGAATCAAGACTTCGTTCTGTGTTCCAGTCTAGGGTCCTTCTACTGAGGGTGGCTGCATGGGCACAGTGAGAATAAATGGACTGCGCACAGGTGTTAACACACCAGGAATTCCTCCCAGTCCTCCCGTGTAATTGTGCTAAGTCAGCAGAGAATGGAGAGATCCTCAAGTTACTCAGGATGGAAAGGCCACCAGACTCCACTTCTCTCGTCATCCAAGGAGAACCATTGCCCAAGTCTAATTTTAATGCTATTACCCAAACATAGACAAAGCTAATAAAACTATATTCAAATTCCATTTGTTTAAATATTATATAATTTTCAACAATTTGGCACAGACTTTGTCTTTCCCCAGCCCAATATATACTCCACACTGATCAAATTCACAATAATTTTCTATATAAAAAGAATAAAAATGCATTTATGAAAATAAAGCTAATAAAAACTCATATAAGTACATATAAAAATAAGAGTGTAGAATCATTATTGCCAATAATGCATCTTATATAGTTCTACCTAAATAATGGAAAAACTTAGAATCAGCTGTATACATAAGAAATAAGAATCCAAATCAGGTGAATTTTAAGTGTAGTGGAATTTTCATACCCTCACATCTTTTCTTCTTCTCTTCATTTGGGTTAAATTAATTCTGAAATTATATTAAGAAAAATGCACTCTGAAATTGTATTCATTGAAATGATTACCTGGAGCTTTGGAGCACAGCAAACCCACCACCTAACTCACCATCAGCTTACAACATATTATTCCCTTTGGGGCAAAAACAATAAATACTGTGAAATATGCTCAAATTTCAAACCTCAGTAATTCTAGGTCAGACTGCCTTCCCCATTTTATTATCCTATTTTCTCAAGATGAACTTCTCTCAAGAACTATTTCTAGACAGTCTTAATGATAGGTTTCTTACCAAATGCTGGGAGACCCAAGAAAGGTTTTCTGGTGGTTAAGCTCCCAGACCAACCTCAAGTTCATGCCACCTCCCAAAACACTCATTCTTTTCAGTCTGCATTTATTTATTCTAGGACAATATGAGCAATATGTATAAATATTCTACAAGGAAATGACTAGTAACGTGAGAACATCCCACAAGAAGATTTCCAAAATTATGCCTGATTCAGTGTGTATTCATAAATAAAAATCTTTGCCTTTAAAGTTTTACTTACAATCGAAAACCTACTGCAAACATCCAAAATTTCTGTATGAAGAACCACAAAATGGCAGTTACAAGAAATAACCAGCTTTACTTAATGATAATAGTTGCTCACTGGAAATCATCCCAACCTGTTCCTTGAGAGCAGTCACCGTAGCGTCCAATTTCCCCTGCAGGGACGACACCTGCTCTTCGTACTTCTTGGTGAGGCCCGTAACAACGCTCTCGTGCTGCTCCCGGGCACGCTGGAGGGACTCAGAGCGGTGCAGCTCCAGCAGCTGCTGCTTCAGGCTTTCCAAAGCCATTTCCGTGGTTCTGGACTTCCTAACCATCTAGCAGAAAGACACAAGATACCCATGTTTTCGGTATTCTGACTCTGTGCTCTCTTTATGCACTCTAACTCTAAAAGTCAACCATGCTTTAATGACAGAAGAAAAGAAAGGGTCTCCCGACAGCGGCTCTAGTTCCTTAAGACTTCCCTAGCTGGGACCTCCCAGGCCCATAGTTGCTGCAAACATTATTCACTGGGGACAAAAAATCTGTAGTTACCTAAGATGGCCACGGGGTACCAGACAAGGAATCTACAGCTACTGCACTTGTCCCAGTACTGTTTGCCATGCGGTGTGAGCCAAGTGTGGGGGACAACCCAAATGTTAGGTCACAGAAAAATGACAACTATTTCTTGAAAGACTAATGAAACCTGTGAATGGTCACCTACTAAGAACCAAGTTTTGAAAGCTATAATTGTACAGTTGCAAAATAATGGTGCAGTAAGCTAAATACTAGCTCCCAAATCCATATCCTAATCCCTGAAACCTGTAAATACCTCATATTACATGGCAAGAGAAAAATTGAGGGTGTCGACTGAATTTAAATTGCTAAACAGATGGCCTTAAAGAGATGAGCCTGGATTACCCAGGTGGGCCCAATGTATCCACAATGATGCTTAAAGAAGGAAAACTGAGGCAGAAAAGTCAGAACCAGTGACTTCTGGCTCTGAGGGTGGAAATCAGCCATCAACCCTTTGCATGCCGCCTCTCAAAGCTGGAAAAGGCAAACAAATGAATTCTCTCCGAGATTCTCCAAAAAGCAACACTGCCCTGCTGATATCTTAATTTTAACCCAGTGAGATCCCTATCAGACTTCTGGCCTCCAGAACTGAAAGATAATAAATGTGTTGCTTTAAACCACTAAGTTTTTGGTAATTTTTAGAGCAACAACAAAAAAAAACAAAATATTTGGTGATTCTGTTAGTTTCTTTTATTTTAGTCTTTCACTTATGCTACTTGCCTTTTGAAAAATGCAGTTTCTAACTTAGATGACAAAGTTATAAGCTTTTACAACATAAAATCAATTCAACTTCTTAATCTAATACCTCTATCAGTTTTCAAAAATTTTTAAATGCTAATAATCTACTGCAATATTGTGATTTCGAAGAAATATATATTTGGTCTTCATTGAAATTTCCTAAGCGTTCAGAGTGATAAAATGTGTCCTTTGTTATGTTACTGAGGTTGATTTTTCACCTAAGGATGGGGGCAGGTTGCCAATTAAACCAACCCTGTGATTAGAGGGTTGGAACTTTTAGTACCAACCCCTGACCTCCAGGGAGGGAAGAGGGGCTAGTGGCTGAATTAATTACCAGTGGCCAAAGATTTAATCAGCCATATTATTCAATGAGCCTCCAGAAAAACCTGAAAGGACAGGGTTCAGAGAGCCTCTGCGATGGAGAACGTGCGAAGATGCAGGGAGAGTGGCACTTGGAAAGAACAGGAAAGTGCACACCCTTCCCGACACCTCGCCCTATGCATCTCTGCCATCTGGCTGTTCCTGAGTTGTAACCTTTTATAGTAAACTGCTGACCTAGTAAGTAAAATGTTTCTATGGGCTCTATGAAACCCTCCTGCAAATTAATGGGACCCAAGGAGGAGGGTCAGGGGAACTTCTGATTAATAGACCGTCAGTCAGAAGTACAGGTAACAACCTCAGATGACAACTGGCGTCTGAAGTTGGTGTAGATAGTGTAAGAATTGATGAATTCTTCAGAGCTTGGCTAGTGTCTCAGAACTGCTTGGTGTTGGTTTGGGGAGGAGAGCAGGGGAGCCTTGGGGGAAAAAACCCATGAGCAGGGACTTGGTAATCAAATAGCAGTCTGCCACGGAAAGCTTTGTGTGCATGCAAGTACACAAAAACAACAAACAGACTTCAGTGTGAGGAAAGTAAGAGATGAGATCGGCAGGATCAGAGGGTTGTCCTGATGCCATACTTCGTCCCACAGGTAAAGCAGGGTCATTGAAAAGCTTTAAGCAAGGGAAAGACATGAGCAGAACTGTATTTTAGAAAGGTTACTCAGATATCCATAAGAGAGACTTTGGGGAAAGGTAAAAGAACAGAGACTAGTAAAAGACTTTGGCAATAGATGATAAAATCCCAAATTAGGGACTTAAGAACAGAAATGAGGACACTCAGAATGTAGTGGATAAAGGGAAGCAGAGAAGCTGAGGTCTTGTCCAGATTTCTGGTTTATAGATGACGGGGTGGAGGAGAGCATGGTTCCTCCAAAGTTAAGGAAAAGAACAGCAGGTTTATGGTGGAAAAAAGGATAAATTTCAAAGTTCTTTGAAATTTAGTCCTACTGTACCAAAAGTTAAGTCACTAAATTTTCCATTTATGGTAAAAAGTAAATCACTTTTTAGCATAAATAATTAAGATAAAATATTTTTATCTTAATAAGTGGGCCAGGTGGCTCACTTATTTTGAAGCATCATCCCATACGCCAAAAGGTTATGGGTTCTATCCTCGATCGGGGCACATACCTAGGTTGTGGGCTCAACCCACAGTCCAGATGCGAATGGGAGGCAACCGATTGATGTTTCTCTCCCCCACCCCTACTCCCCTCATTCTTCTCTCTCTAAAAATTGATAAATATATCATCAGGTGAGGATTTAAAAAAAAAATTTACCTGTTCTTCGTTAACTTTTAATGCTTGTATTTGAGTCTCCAGTGCTTTTATTTGTGCTTCAAGTTGTATCTCTCTTTCTTTTCCATTCTGAAAGAGTTTCTGTGATTCTCGAAGGCTGAGGGTCAAGCCATCCTTTTCATCTAGAATGTTAAAAATGTTCATACAAACAATATATTACTGTAAAGGAGCCCCAATTGTCATAATCTTTATCAAATATCAGATTTATATTACATATAAATGTTGATGCATTCAATTTAATTCAGATAATGAACTTTAGTTGATTTAGAGAAAACTAAGAAAGTTCTAAAAGAGAATACCTGAGTGACACCAAAAAAATTTAGAGAACCAGGACCACTGCCTTCAAAAATCTTATTGTATCCCTTTGGGGACCAAAAGATTTCCTAATAATGATTTCAACATCTGTTTACTTGAGAAGCTACAGAGATGTGACAAACCCTAATTAAAAAAGAAATCTGAGGATGAACTACTTTTTATACATACTTGCAGTGAACTCTTGAATTCACCTAATCTTAAATTCTTCCCACGTACTTTTCTTAAGATTTATTTAATTTTTAGAGAGAGAGGAAAGGAGGGAGAAAGAAACGGTGAGAAACATCAATGTGTGGTTACCTCTCAAGTGCCCCCTACTGGGGATCTGACCCACAACCCAGGCATGTGCCCTGACTGGGAATCAGTACAGAGACCCTTTGATTCACAGGCCGGCACTCAATCCACTGAGCCACACCGACCAGGGCCGACATACTTTTTTACATGATAGCCCGCAAATTCTTCTCTCAAAATAAATTTTATGAGCATTATAGAAAAAGACTTTTATCACTATCAATTAAGTTTGATACGAGCTGGAGTTCAGTCTATGAATGAAAGTTCTGCAATGACCAAAACTACAGAAAACACTAGGAGTTAGCAATTATAATTTGAATCTGCATTTTTTCTGTGCTTCTCCCATCTATGGCTCCATTTGCTCCTTGGCACACCTAAAGGAGTTCCAGATCACTAACTCTTATGTGGATTAAAACATTATGCTAATTTGTAAACTCAGAAAAGGCCTTACAAACTAAACACAAGTCTCTCTGGGAATTGTAATACTTCATCCAAAATAAATTAAACAACTTTTTACGGCACAATGCTATCAGCATAGTTAAAAAATGTGCATTTATTCCAAAAGCCTAACAGAAAGAGGGGAAAAAGGGGAGAAAATGATGACCTCAAAAGAGTATGTTCTGGAAAGAAGTAATTCCAGGAAAGGTGTCAAAAATCCTGGGTTTGGTTTCCTCCTGACTGACTCCTTATGATCTCTCTGACCAAGTACATCAATTCTCTAGGCTTCATATTTAAAATAAGATTCTGGAAACAAGATATCTATCTCTAGCGTACCTCATAAACAACCGACGTTATCTTACCTTTGATTATCAGAAGCTGGTGGTTCAGATATCTGATTTGATGCTCACTTTCATTTAACTTTTCAACTAAATTGTCTAGTTGTCTTTCTTTTGCTTTGTTAAGAACCTGCAGTTGAATAATCTGCATATTTTCTGTAGAATCTGATTTGGAATTAAAAACAATTTATTAGATAAAAGAAAACCAAAATATAAATTTGTGGTCATTTAGGGCAGTGTTTTTCAAACTGTGGATACAACTCATTAGAGTATCATGAAAATAATTCAGTGGACTGTGAATGGCATTTCTTAAAAATAAAATGAAGAATATAATAGAACATATCAGAGTGCATCATGTAGTACAAATGAGTATTATTTTATGAAATTTGTTGTTATATAAACTTATATATATTAGTATTGTGGGCTGCATCTCAATGTAAAAAATGTACTTCTCACAGTGGTCACTGCCAGAAAAGTTTGAAAAGTCACTGGTTTAGAGTATAATCCTTAATCACTATCATTTTGGCTAATTAAAAATAAACATATATATCAATGTGAATGAAAAAGAGGCTGTGCAATAAACCTGACAAGCTCAGGGGAACACATAGTAGGTCTGACAAGCCCTGTGACCAAAATGAACCACCCAGGATGATCTGATCACAAATTCCTACCTGGGCAGGTCATAGCAGGTAGTCACGTCCCAGACCCTATAGCATCATTGGCCAAAGTCAGTCTTTCCACTTAGTGAGCCCTGTCCTTTGCTCTTATGCATCTAGGACAATATTCCTTTGAAATGTCAGAGTAATTTTCTTTTCCTGCCCCTTGAAGGCACAACCACAGGCATCAAAGCACAAGACCACAGAAGCCCTCATTGCTATCTTGTTCCTCACATACCAGCTGTATGCGCTGTGTCAATTATTCACTACTATCCTATACCCGCCAATGTGAAAGAAGTGTATGTTTCTCCATTTTGCTTCTTATCCAATCTTAGAGATTTTCCTGTTACGCTTTCTCCTACCACCAATGCATTTCACTGCACCTTCCCTATGTCTTCTCCTTTGACTCTAATGGATGAAATAAGCTGCAGAACTGCCATTTTCCAGCACATATCACGACACATGCTTCCTGGCACGTGTTATCAGTTTGGCTCAGAGAAACTCATAAAAATTCTCTACAGGTTTGGACATTTCTTATGTTGACACCAATTACAGCGGAATAGAGTTCTATGCTCTCAAAAACTGAAAAATAAGTATGTCAGTTTCTCAAAAAACTATTTTTAAAGGAAATTCCCAGATATCCTCCTCAAAATATTTTATTTTAAGCAGGAGTGGGGATTACAGTATATTCATATTTATGCTGGCACTTAACTGCTAAATTAATAAATAGATTAGTAAAAGATTTCGCAGCCTTTCAGAAATGATTACAATCATTTTAGGGACCACTTAAAAATGACTGGGAGGGAGAGAAAAAATGATTCATAGGAGAAGGATAATGATTCAACTACACAATGACAGTTAGTAGAAGATGAGTATTTGCTCCTCTTTGCTAGCAAATAAAGCAGGCCTCTCTTTAAAAAAGAGATATGGTTAAAGTCCAAAAGACCTGAAGATTGAAAACTTTGTTACCAGTCAAACTCCTCTCGTCTGTTCTACTCCTCTGGGTAGAACAGAACTAGCCCAAGAATAAACACAGGGTACATGCCCCACCTCTCTTCAAAGCCATTTTTTTGAACGACTGTTGCTAGGAAGCTGTAATCACCAAATCTGGCACCACCATTAAGTTATTTAATGACCTTGCAAATGTCAAATTTAGGCAAATGTGCCACTGACTTCAACAGAAAATAAATCAACTTAATAAAATGCAGATTAAGAAAGTGATAAAAAGGTTATACACGCAGACCAGCCAACTGAACGCGGGAACTGAAAGAGTAAACACTGGGACCCAGAAACACTGTTGGGTGCTTATTTACACAGCCCAAACCAGTCTGACACACACACTGTCCACTTCCTCATTTCTTCATTCCACAATAACTTATAATCAAAGAGAGGCCAGCCCTACGTTTGCATTGACTCCCTCGAGGGCATGTGAGTCTGCAGCCCCAGTGTAAGGCAGATCCCATGCTATGAAGTTAGAGCATGAAGCCCAGTTTTCTCCTTGGTGAAGCCCTGGAAAAACCTAGAATATCCAGTATGACTTTCCCCTCACTGCTGCTGCTGCTGCTGTTTTTTTTTTTTTAATCCTTGCACGAGGACCTTTTTTTCATTGCTTTTTAGAGAGAGAAGGAGAGATCCCCCACTTCTTAATTGTCAAATTAACAAACAAAAAACTTGCTGCCACCCTCTGGAATCACACCATTTCTTCGACATGTACAACAACTAGAAGTTATTTCACATGCCAGAGAGTATGACAATGAAAGTTGGATCTATGAAAACACTAATTCAGGTCAGAGTACAAGTTTTGATTTTTGGTTTTGGTTGTTTTATCTCCTCAAAATGCTCTAGTAGCACTTTTCTCATTCCCATATTTATACAGAGACAAATCCAAGAGACTTTTTTGGTGTCATGTGACTAAACCTGAGATAGGAGTCTAATTTAAATTCTGAACCTGAAGCAATTTATGTCAGAGCTAATTATTACATGAAAACTTGAAAATCAAGAGAAAAATATTGAGATGATAATAGCTCATTTACTAAGTTATATTTTTATATAATGAAAAACATAGGACTGAAGGGGCAACTACATTTCATTTTCCAAATTAGACTTCAGTTATAAAAACATAAAGCTAATGAAAAGTCTTAACCAACTACAGTACTCAAACATATGGTTGAGAAAATTTTATTTTAGTTTTTTATTATGGAAAATATCAAATACATAAGGTGGAGAAAAGAGCATAATGAATTCCATGAACTCATCACCCAGATTCAACAATTAGGAACTCACATCCAGAATCTTGCTTTCTTTGTCCTCACCCCACATTACGCCCCAACACCACAGTATTTGAAGTACATCTAGACTTCATACCAGTTTATTCATAAATACTTCAGGATATATCTCTAACAATAGGGCTCTTTTAAAAAAACCAGCCATCATTCAATTACAATACTTAAAAAAGTAATAATTCTTGAACATGTTTAAAATTCTCCAATTGTGTCATTAAGAGATAAATATAAACTTGATACATACTTTCATTAGCCCCTAAAAACTGTTGTTGCAGGCCTTCCAATGTGTCACCTCCTGCTGCCTCCTGGGTTGGTGAGTCATCATTCTGTGCAGGAGCCTGATATGGTTTGTATGTCACTGTAAATGGTTCCATCGCTTGACAACTGGGGCCTTGTGATGTACCAAATTGCTATTATAAGATGATAAATGAAACGGATGATTAGGATTTGGCCTTTTCTTCAAAAATTACCTGAATTAGGCACCTTAATTTTGTTACAGAACTTAACTGTGGTACAATTACAAATTTTATACATACATCTTTGCTTTTAGAAAACTTACTTAACACTGTTAATTCAAAGTCTGCAAAATGTAATTTCACACATTTTAACTGTACTTTTAAGCATATAATGGGCCCATTGCATAAATAACACTCAAGAATTCCAGTACGACTATAGAGAAATACATAAGAATGATTTATATGATGTCAACAGCTTGGGAACATAAAGGTACACATATTCAATAACAAGAACATGTGTTACAAGGCTTCTTATATAATAGGTATTCAGTAACTTCTGTGGAATGAATACTATTTACAGAGATAGAAAAGAAAATGACTACCTTAAAAGAAAAAAAGTTATCCTGTCATTGGGTGACACAGAATAGCTATTGGCAAAATGAGGCTTTCATTGTCTTTAAGAAAGTCTAAGAAGCCACTAACTGTATCCTAAGGTCTTACTTCATTAAACTCTGCCAGGGTTTTAAAAAAAAAAAAGTGTTTCTTTCCTTGGCATTCATCCTGTCTATTGCTATATCATCACAAAATAGATATCAGCTTTGAAGTGGCTGACCTAAAATTTTTCATAAAGTGGGTGAACTAGAAAGTCACAGTAATTAGTCACCTACATAAATTTACTGCTTTAAAACTATATCAAGATAACTGATCATAGCTTCTCACCGAAGCATAGTAAAGTACTAGAAGCCAGAAGCAGCAGTAAATGAGGGTGGTCATTCTTCAAAAAACTTAATTTTTAGTGTTTAATTAGCTGTCTCCATAAAGCCTCTATTTTAAAATTCTGACCTAAGATCATGATTTCATTAGACTGTAAACAGAAAACAACATGACTAATTCAGCACGCGCCTGAACAAATGCACTCAGAAATTTTTATACTTAAAATAAATCTTACTATTGCACTTATATACATTTTTTAAATATACACATACGTGTGGGCACAAATACGCAACTTCTTGAAAGTCAAGTTCTTATAATACCTGAAAATGATTCCTTTGAGGATCTGCAAATTTAATTATATTGGCTGGTTGGTTATTAAATTCCTGCTTCTGACCTTTGGTGTATGGCCTAAAGTTTTCGGGAAGGCGATATAAATCAGTCTGCTCATATTTACTCGGAGGACTATAACCACTTCTGCCTTCATCTTCACCTCCTTCAGGATGATAGCCAGGATGCTGGTCTTCGGTCTTACTTTGATTCTCTTCCCAGCCATTGCCAATTTTCTCTCCAGGATATATATCCCGAACCTCATTACAGTCCTATTAGATAACAAGAGTAAGACAAAAGCACTAAGATCTAGTCCCGCCCTCATCAAAATCAATGTCACAGCAGATACTCACATGTACACTTTTAGATTTAGGCAGCACCTGATGGTCATTCCAGTTCATCTCCAATGGCTCAGAACAATGAGGTCTTGAGAAAAATCAATACTTTAGATTTAGATTTAGAGCCTGTCATTCATTTGGACATAAATATCCCAAAGAACCCTAGAATTTTAACATGGTTTCCCTCCAACCTTGACCTATAAGTTTAAGAATTAGCCCACAATTTTATAATTGCATACATTATTATTACCTGCACAGAATCAAAAGACAGACAGAACCGTAACACACAAGTGCAAGTGATTTCACGTCCTTACCCTCCCTCTGTGTCATCCTCGCTGCAGTCCGAATAGTGGAACTCGGGGGAGGACAAGTCGTCATCCAGCATATCATGAGGCAGGTCTGTCAGTAACTGCTGCAACTGAGATAAAAGTCAGCATAAATATCACACTGACTTAAAAAGGAGATGCCAAACCGAAGCTGCCTGGTAATGAGTAATTGACTGTGAAAGTCAAAGAAGTTCCTAATTTCTACATTCAATAAATATCATAAATTCCACATGAATTATTTTCATCATTTCACTTGGGGAGAGGGGAATAGATAATTTCAAAATTTCTATCAGAAGGCTTCATTTTTTTCTACAAAGGTCCTGGTTTTAAATACACACAAATTACATCATAATTTAAAAACTTCTTTATGGAAGCACAACAAGCCATCATAATGGTATAATCCCTGTATTATGTTATCACGGGGTAGACTTGAATCTCAGAATCCTGTTCTACCAGAAACCAAACCTTGGGCACTTGATAATCAGACTTTCCCCAGGGAATCTGTGTAGCCAGACGCACTTTGCCCAGGCGGTGAAAATAACAGAAGCAGCAGCAGGTGGCCTAGAATCCCCTAAAAGCTCTAATGCTGTGACAAAAACCTCTTGGGAAGTGACTAATTAGTAGACAACCATCTAATTCCAATGATGAAAGGATATACAATACTTGGCTGTTGTAAAACAGTTGAGTAAAAAGAGGGCTGTAAGATTCAGTTTACAGTGAGCACTCTCAAAAGCATAATTTGAAAACTGACAATAAAAGCATTTGATTTTGCTTTCCAATTTTTTTCTAAAAAACTCACGTCTTTAGTATTCTGCCTATAAAAACTAGAGACAGAATAAATTCATTCAAGTTTCAAGATAAACTGTAATAAAGAGATGAACTGTCTAATTTGTTGAATTTTAATATCAGCAAACGTCGTTCTTCAAATCCCAATACAATATCAAATCCCAATACAATATCAAATCCCAATATAACTGTAACAATCAAATTCAAATACTATATCACTAGATAGGAGGGAAACTATAATGACTTCTCTTTCAAGTTAAGCACCAGTTAAACTGACCAGTTGGCTGAATCCCTCCACAGCACATAAATTAATCCCACAAAATTATGCAATGAGTGAATTTTAAAGATACCAAATACTCTACACAAAACCTCAGAGGAAGAAAATGAGACACTTTTTGTCTATGACAGATTTTTCCATTTTCTCTGTCATTATAATAAAAGAAATAAAATGTAGCTTTCAAACATACCTGAGTATTGTATTTATAATAAAAAACTTTCATAAACAAAATACATATGCTAAAAGTTAAGTAAAAGTATTTAAAGAAAGGTCTGAAAGCTATGCTCCAATTATTAGCTTGGTTTGGTGAAGTCACATTGGGAATGGACATGGGCTGTGAGAAGCGGGGAGGGGCACTTCCTCAGCCCCTTACACATTTCTTATGTTCACTGGATGATTTCTTTTAAAGGTTTTCTCAGTCCATTAGGTTCTTTACAAATCAAACAGGAAAAAATAGTCTCTTCAATGAAAAGTCATCTTCATCTCAAAATCTAGTTGATACTAATACAAACAAGCCAGGCCTTGATTTATTGGCCACCTGTTCGTGCAGTATAATTGAAAAATCATTTTGAGAATTAGCAATATCACCACTGACCAAAAATATAAAGAATAAGAAAACAAAGGAAACAAAACTAAAAACAGTACATATCAACATATTAGTATATGACACGTGCCTCAAGTGAAAGGTAATAGTGATCTTACACTCAAATTTTCCTAAGACAAAAACCATCTATGAGGTCTTTTAAAATAGTCCAACCTGTTTTGTCTATAATTATGTATCACTGCTTTAAGGAAAAAGACTATCCCCACACATTACACAGGAAAGGAAAATAACAAAATAAATCTTTTATACTTACACCAAGTAAGGACTCCTGTACAGAAAGAATATTTTCTTCTAAATCTTCAGTGAGGTTCAAGTACATAGCCTTATAATTCAAGGGAACCTTGACAGGGACATCTGAACAGTACATTTCTCCCCCTCACAAAGACACAAAAAGCTACACAATAATTAAGCAGCTCTTGTATCTTTCTTTGTGACACCACAAATGTGTAATTAAAAAAGCATTAACAAAACTGGCATCTGTAAAGAAAATATGAGTATAAGCAATAAGTTCTAAATGTTTCTGGGTCCACAAGTAACTTATCAAACCAGTAAAATCATCTCTGTAGTATATAGTGCCTTATAAAATATTTTTTATATGTGCTAACATTTTAAATTGTTTCATTCACCTTCAAAAACTTTCTCTACCATGTTCTTTGGCATAGCTGGGCCATATTCCTTGACTTCCATAACTTTCAGAGCAGAGAAGCAAAATGAGCTAATCCCTCCTAACAAGGCATTCAGGAACAAAATCCCACCCACCAGGCTTCCGTTTCCCAGGATCAAAATGTGCCCTCCTCTTTACTAGGTGACCTGAGCCAGACACAGTCAGTGACTGACCTTGGCCTACATGAGAGCCCCTCCCTAGAGGTCCCAGAACCAACATACCTGGTGGGCAGCTTCAGACAACAACAGAGCTCTACACAATTAGCACGGCAAATGACACCCCCACAAGGAGACTCAGTGAGCACCAGAGCCCTGCTAAAGGAAATCCTGCCTGGTGGGGTGAGTCCCCCACAACAGCTTGTCCGCGACAGCCTTGGCCAGTCCTCAAGGCCAGTCAGCCTGAAGGTCAATCCTACCCACTGACACGCCGACAGCAATCAAGGCCCAACTACAATGGAGGGCACACACAACTGAAACAGGGACACGCCTGGAGCACCCAGCTCAGGTACACAGGGAGGTTGCACCACTGGGCCCAACAGGACACCTACTACATAAGGCCACTCCGCCAAGACTGGGAAATGTAGCAGCTCTACCTAATACACACAAACAAACACAGGGAGGCAGCCGAAATGAGACCAAGAAACATGTCCCAAATTAAAGAACAGGAAAAAATGCACGGGGGGAGGGGGGTGCGGAGGGAAGGACTAAGCAAAATGAAGGCAAGCAATCTACCAGATGCAGAGTTCAAAACACTGATTAAAAGGTGCTCAATGAACTTAGAGAAAGAACAGGTGAGCTCAGTGAGAACTTTTAACAAAGAGATAGGAAACAAAAAAGAACAATCAGAAATGAAGAATAAAATAACTGAAATGAAAAATACATTAGATTGAATCAACATCTGATTAGACGAAGCGGAGGACTGAACCAGCGATTTGGAAGACTAAGTGGCAGGAAAGACCAATCAGAACGGCAAAAAAAAAAAAAAAAGGATTCAAAAAAATAAAGATAGTGTTTAAGGGACTGCTAGGACAACGTAAGTGTAACAACATTCTCATCATGGGGGTATTACCAGGAGAAGGGAGAGAGCTAGGGATTAAAAACCTATTTGAAGAAATAATAATGGAAAATTTCCCTAACCTGACAAAGGAAATAGGCATGCAAGTCCAGGAAGCACAGAGAGTCCCAAACAATATGAACCTGAAGTGGCCCACACCAAGACACAGCATAATTAAAATACTAAAGTTTAGTGATAATGAGAAAATCTTAAAAGCAGCAAGAGGAAAGTAGTTACCTACAAGTGAGCTCCCATAAGACTGATTTCTCAACAGAAACTTTGAAGGCCAAAAGTGATTGGCCTGAAATATTCACAGTGCTGAAAAGCAAGGACCTAAAAAAAGACTACTCTATCCAGCACAGCAATCATTTAGAATTGAAGGAGAGAGAAAGAGCTTCCCAAACAAGAAAAACCTGAAGGAGTTTATAACTAACAAACCAGTATTACAAGAACTGTGAGAGAGACGTAAGAGAAGAAAAATAATAAATAAAAAATATGAGTAAGAAAAAAACACAAAAAAAATTCTCACTGACAAAGGCAAACACATAATGGCAAACACTAAGGCTAGTATAAAGGTTACAAGACAAAAGTAGGAAGTCATGTGTAATTACAAGAGTAAATTTTGGGATGCATACACATGCACAAAAGAAGTAAAAAATAATGACAAAAACATAAATGTGGAGAGGGTGGGTAAAAATGGTAGTGATTTTAGAATGTGTTCGAACTTAAATGGCCATCGACTTAAAATAGACTGTTATTAAACATAGCTTGCTACATATGAAGCACATGGTTAACCACAAACCAAAAATCTAGAAGAGATACAAAAGAAATAAAGACGAAGGAATTCAAACACAACACTACAGAAAGTCACCAACATACAAAAGAAGAGGCCAAAAGAATAAGAAAGGAACAAAGAACTACAAAAACAATCAGAAAACAATGAATAAAATAGCAATAATTATTGGGTTCACCAAAAAGTTCGTATTTTTTCCATAAAATAAAAGACATTTTTCATTTTCACCAATAACTTTATTGATTTGGATATTTTGAGTATGTTGGCTATCTCCCGCATGGTAGAACGTTGATTGTTCTCAATTAATGTCTCAATTTGATCACTATCAACTTCCACTGGTCTACCTGACCATGGAGCATTGCCTAGCAAGAAATCTCCAGCACCAAACTTAACAAATCAGTTTTGACACATTTGATGAGTCACAGCAACTTCTCCACAAGTCTGCACAAATCTTTTGTGTGTGCGTTTCAGTTGCATTTTTATCTTTCTTAAAATAATGAAGCATAAAATACCTAAAATGTTGCGTATTTTCTTCCATCTTCAATATTAAAATGGCTACACAAAAATTCACCAATTTTGATAAGTTTTTTAAGTGCACACTGATATGACAGTTGTGACAAAACAAACTAACAAAATTGTTTCAAAGGAAGTTAAAGACAACTCAGTGCTACTAGGACCATCATATGGAAAAAACCAGACAGACATTTCCGTCAACCCAGTGCATACCTATGTAAATGAATTAAATGCTCCAATCAAAGGATGTTTGGATAGAGAAGATGTGATACATATATACAATGGACTGTTATTCGACCATAAAAAAGAATGAAATCTTACCATTTGCAACAACCTGAATGGATCTATATGGTATTATGTTAAGTGAAATAAGCCAGAAAAAGGTGGGTGGTTGCGGGACCG